TGTGTGTGTGTGTGTGTGTGTGTGTGTGTGTGTGTGTGTGTGTGTTGCAGTTGCTACTGCTCATCTTTTCTTGTCTGAGGAAGGCAGCGTGGGACTACGGCCGCCTGGCTCTGCTCATGGAGAACGACAGGTAAATCCTTCGCTCTGCGTTTTAATTAGAAGAGAGTCTGATGTTCCCACCAGCCGGGAGCTCCATCTTTCAGTTTGAAGATGGAGAAATCTCAGAGTCCTCCTCTGATGCAGCAGCTCCCTCTGCTGATTGACATAGGAGACATTTTAGATTCTTACAGCACCATTTGTGTTGTTAGTGATCATTAGAGTGTTCTGAAAAGCTTTAGTTTGTGAAATTAAACTGTACACCTCCCTGCGCCTCCTTTCCTGCAGAGCTTGATTAGTTCTGCCTGACCGATGGCAGCTTCACGGCTCTCCGGGGCAAGCAGCATCTGTGCGTCTCCTCTCTCAAACTAATTGAATTATGCTGCTTAATTTGACGTGCTGCTGAACTGTCAGCGGCGAAGCCCCACAGAGAAATATCCACAATGGCTGCACCGCCTTCGTCAGATCCTTCTGCACGTATTTTATGTCCTCCTGGTGTAAACACGGCACCGTTACACTGTTTTCTTATACTGACGAGGCCTTTTCTATTTGTGTGTTTCATGTGTTCCCATCAGCCTCACATCCCTGTTTTATGGGGAACCGAGTGAAAAGGAGAAGTCTCCTTCAGAATCCAGCCCCTCAGACTCCGAGACTAAAGATATGGTGAGTTTGAAACCCCATCGTGTTTGTCAGGTAACGTCAGAAAAGACTCTTTGTTTCAAAACCTTCTTTTAGCAGCTTTAAAAACTGTTCACTGCTAAATCTTAATCTTAAATCTTAATGGGTTGGGAGACATTTTCCTGTGAGCTAAATGAAGTGTATTTTACAATTATTATCATATTCATTGCTTAATGGAGCACAATATAACAAAGACTTAATAAAATATGCTTTATCTGTGCTTCAGCTGCAAAGACGTGGACTTTGTTGTGTAAGATAATCCTCATCCACTTCCAGGATGGATTACTAACTTCTGTGTATTTGTATCATGTATGATGAATTGTTTGGATGTTTTATTTGGACAGTTATTATTCTCGTGTGTTGCTGGTGTCAAATTTAATTTGGATTTTGTTTACTGATGTCAAATTTTTTAAATGGCTTCTATTTAGTTTAAACAAAAAATTACCCCCAAAAATTTGTTGTAAAAAATAAAAATAGCAAAATAAAAGGTAAATGTATGTTATATATAATTTGCTGATCACTGCATTTCAATTTTAGTTGTATGTTACACAGTGGGCCACTCTTTAAGTTAATATATGATGTGGGATGTAAAGGTCATGGATGTTTTTCACTTACTAATGTCAAATTAATATAGAACCATGTATGTGAAGTCAAGAGTCTTTCTGCCAGAGGAGTCTGATAACTGATAATTGATAAACTCTGATGCCTTGAACAACTGTGAGCTGTGAAGTAGAGGTCGTTTTGACCTCCTTCTGTTGATGACGGGTGTTTAAGCTTTTCCTAACTCTGTTTCCTGCGGGCAGACCTTGTGATCAGAGCATCGTATAACATCTTGTATTCCTGTTTTCAGTTGCTGCTCCCTTTGCAAAGATTAAACCTGGGTTGTAAAGATATTCTAGTTTCTTTGTGTGGTATTTATTTCATGAGTTGATGATAGGATAATTAAATTGTCCAACAATGTACAATATAAGAGATGAGACAAATCTTTTGAAAGGCTCTTTAAAATGAACAATGGGAACCAAGTTGTAGACCGCTGGAAGACGTTCTTTGTTTGTTTGTTCGCCTCGTGTTTGCCTACTCTCCTGCAGCCACGCAGGCTGCTTGTTTGCTTTTCAGCTGAGATGAAGAACGGGCAACAGGGAGGAGCGCAGCAGATGTATACGGTGAACATGCGCTCAGGAAAGGAAGGGGGTTGAGTCACATGGTACGACCGTACGTAACGTAGGCCGTGCATAGTGATGGGAATAATTATTTAACGGCTCTTTGAAAGGAACAGATCCACACGATCCAGCTCCCTTTGACAAGTCGTGAATCCCATTTTTATGCAAAAGTGCCATGCTTTTATTTATTCATTCATTCATTTAAAAGTTTAGACAGTTTCTGAAAAAAATGCACATTTGACAGTCTTGATTCTTTTAAAAATTAGTTTGAGGAAATGCACGTTAACTGAATGATTGTTCCACTCTTTATCTTTTCACGGTCCGCTTCCATTTCTCGTGTGTGCGCTTGAAACGCAGCGCTGCATCCCTGCATCCCTGCAGAGCCTCGTGTTGCTGGGACTCTAGCTCACCGATGCTGATGCAGAAGTGTAACACTAACCTGAAAATAGTAAAAGACGTCCACGCTGTGCCTCTACTTTTAGTCTGTGAAACTATAATTGGGACAAATAAGCGAAGTGTATGAGGGGGAGACTAGTGGAGAGCAGCCATCTGTGCTCTGCTGAATATTTTTAAGAAATACTATCATGACCAATCCCAAAGATGCTGCGCAGACACCCTGTCCTGCTCTCGTTTATTTGCATTAAATATAAAGTGTCACTATTAATTCATATTTTTTAAAACACGCTGAGTTTTCATAATAAGGCAGGGTTGGGTGAGATGGCGCTGCCCTGACGGTTGATGGGAGAAAGTTAGTGATGACTCAGCCGAACTGTCTGTGACTCCCTGACACCTGTGTGACAGACTGAGGTCACTCGCTGCGTGTTTATAACACTGAAAGGCAAAGAGTCAGACTGGAGTCGTCTCCCTGTGCCCACACAGAGCCGAGGCTGCAGGAGGCTGATTACAACTCCAGGCTAGACCCATTAAATCTCCATCTCTGTGTCACTCTGCTGACCTGAGAAAACATTCACAGATATAGATGGAAATAGTTGCATATGTCTTTATTAAGCAACTCACCAGATGTTTATGATTCTCCTCTTGTTGCAGGGCTTCTGCTCGTGGCTTTCCTCGCTTTACCATATGAAGTAAGTTCACACACAAAGTATTTCAGGCTCCTGACGTCACCATTTAATGTAAATTCTACGCTTTAGACTCAAAGTAAACTCGTCTGGGCTCGTGCTCGTGCTTGTTGGATATTTGCTGAAGTCTGACTGCACGCTGCAGATTTAGACCTGTAAAAAAGTCATTTGTGCCGTATCCATGGTTTCCATAGTATTATGGTGGCGTTTGGGTACTTCTGTTTTTAGCTTTCAATGTTCGTGGCTCACCCAAGGGTTTCTGGGAAATTGCAAACCCACCCTGTGAGTTCACAATGTGTGGGCTGCAGTGTGGACTTCTTTCCTGCTTTTTCTTTTCTCTGTTTTATGACGCTGGGTTTCCTGAACCTTTTGCATGTCACCACAGCTTTTCACAGCAAACTACTGGTGCCAGAGCTGTGCTCGTGATGAAGCTGGCCTCGGCTCTTCAGGTTATTTGCACACTGGATGCCAGATTAAGATTGGATTGACTCTAAATACATGGATTTCCCCAAGTTTGGGAAAAGTGGGGGGTGTTCTCCAAAATATAAATAAATATAAGGAATACAATGATGTTCAAATCTCATAAACCCGTTAGTTATTCACGATGGAACACATGAAAACATGTTGAAACTAAGAAATTGTATATATTTTTTGTTAATTAGCAACAAGTGCGTAAGAAGAGCGGCTATAAAAAAGAGCATTTTAGAGAGGTTGAAGCTCTCAGAAGTAAAGATGGACAGCTTCTCATATACAGATCATAAGTAGGCCTGTCGCGATAAACAATAACTCCATTAATCACATGATAAATTAAAATTATCAACCTCATTTTCATTTATCAGCTTTATCATTTCTTCGTGTCTCTCACTTTCTACTGAAGACACTGGATGACAAGTCTCAACTCCGGTTCTCTTCACTGACCTCTCCCTTTCTCCTTCAAATCCATTTTAACCGTCCAAAATCATGTTTTTCGATTGTTAAAAGCAGCTAAGCTGAGAAGCTAAGCTACGAGCTAAGCTAACAGGCCGACCTCGGGGGGGGAAAAACTCTGTCTTGTCAAAATTCACAGGTGAAACCCGTGCCTTCATGTAAAAAGTTGTTTTCTCTGCAAAAAAAAGCTGAGAACTTGTTTACTGATTTTTTTTTTAAGTAATAGCTTTGTGTGAAAAATGTTATGCTAAAGAGCTCAAACCACACAGAGCGTCCGCCATTTTGAGAACCGAAAGACAGCCCATGTCACATCAAGTTGCCTCCCTCCCATTTTTCTTAGAGGCACGCTGCTTGCTCCCTCACTATCCATCCTTCGGTTCAAACAGTCTTATACTGCCATCCGGTGGTCAAAAAAGGTACTACACACAAAACAAATTAACCAACATTTCTTCTTAAATTTGACAATAATTACTAATTATTACTAATTATTGTCAAATTTCAAACAATATTATCGTTTATCGCAATAATTTCTGAGACAATTGCCCAGCAAAATTTGTTATCGTGACAGGCCTAATCATAAGATTAACAAATTATTTCACGACTTGCCATCGTCTTCTCTGGCTCGTTTAAAATAGACCAGGATAGAATTTGAAACTGTTCTGTGGTCAGTCAAATCAAAATTTAGAAATTATTTTTGGAAACCATTTAAATCCTCCACACTCAAGAAGGAGAGGGACCAACCACCCTGTTGTCAGCGCGTAGTTCAAAAGCCTGCCTCTCTGATGGTATGGGGGTGCATTAGTGCCTATGAATCCTACATCAGACAAACGCTCCAGCAGCTGGTCTCCTCAGACTGTTGTTCTCTTTCAAGGTGGTAAAAACATGTTCCAACTTTTTAAAGATGTGTTGCTTTCATAAAATTCTAAACTTTGTTCAATATCTTTGTGTTTACGAGGTTCTAAAAAGAACGGCTTACAAATGACTATGTTCAGTTTTTATTTATATACTCCATCCTTTTGCTAATTGTGATTGTACATTTTCAAAGCATCGTTTCGAGTTCTGAAACTTTCGCTGCTCTCTCTGTGTGCAGTGATGACGAGATCCGTAGCAAATGTGGCGTCGACGCGGTCACATACCTGTCCTTCCAGCGCCACATCATGCTGCTCATGACCATGGTGGCCCTGCTGTCTTTGGCCGTAATCCTCCCGGTCAACTTTTCCGGGAACCTCCAGGGTATTTCAGTCCTCACGTTATAATTTTGAAAAGAAAATCCGGGCATATCCTTAACCTCAAGAGACGGCAGACTCTGAAAGAGGGAGGCTAGGCCACACAGACACAATTGTACGAAGGACCTGTTTGGTAAACACACGGAAACTTTAGCTTTAAACAAAGCTGCACTAGCATTTATTGTGAGTTTTTTTTGCATACTTGTGATTAGTCAGGTTGCGAGAATAGAAAGTGCTTCATGAAGGTGTCAGGGGTTGGAGCACATAACCAGCAGCTAAATAGCAGCTGAAAGGCCTTTTGGCAGCTCTGTGCTTATTTTTCAGGAAGCACAGAGAGGGCTGTTCCACAGCAGTATGAAGACAGGAACTTTATGAGGCCTTTTTATGTCTGCTGGTTGTCATCATATGGACCGGCGCGGCACCTCCTAGTTATTAAATGAACCAACAAAGGCTGCCATAGAAACGCCAAACAAAAGCGTCCCAAATTAAACCAGCACAGTTAGGCACGTGTAAAATTCATAAAGAAGAGCATGACGTTGCTTTAATTAAGGCTCACCTCGCAGACAGCAGCTACCTCATCTCACACTCTGTCATGTGTGATTATTTCTACAGGAGACAGTCCCGAAAACTTGGGGAGAACAACTCTGGCTAACGTTAGTGCAAAGTAAGTGCAACACAGGCATGACATCAGAAGTCATGAAGCGAGCCAGAGCCACAAATATAAAAACTGGACTATCTGTAGTGGTTCTGTTTGTCCTTTGAAGGGACAACTTTCTTTGGCTGCACAGCATCTTCGCTCTGGTTTACTTCATCATCACTGCGCTGGGCATGGCTCACCACTCCATGAGGCTGGAATGCAGAGGAGATGAAAAGGTCTGAGCATCACCTCTCACTCCTCCATACTTTTAAACATCTTTAAGATAACATTGAAGAAATCTACGTTGTATTACAGTATGCTTCCTCAAAAACTCAAGATTGGCCAGTTTAATAAAAAGTTTAGTTTCTATTTATAATTGAATTGGAAAATTAAAGATCACCTGCCACCTTTTAAACTAAACTTATTTAGGAGTTTTAGCCATTTTGCTCAAATCATACGACCCCATGTGATGTGTTAGCACTTGGATTGTGTGTTCCGAATGACTCTCTGCTACTACCACACAAAACTTCACCTCAGTATCTGTAAAACTGACTGAGTTGTCTGTGGCGGCCATCTTGAATTGGATTGACTCCAAAATTAATATCGATGCATCCAGCAATTATTTACTGAGAGTTTCATTACAATCCGCCTAGTGGATTAGGAGATTATTTGCTAAAAGATGAGCACAAATGCAGGTAAACATGTTTTTCCTTTTGGCGACAGATGTTAATAACTTAATAGATTCAACAATGTTCAGGTCATCTTGGTGGTTTCTTTTTTTTTTTTTTGCTGAGACGTTTCGTCCTTCATCCAGTGGGCTTCTTCATTTGACTCCTCAGATTGATGAAGTCCTTTGGATTAAGGACTAAACGTCTCAGAAAAAAAAAAAAAAAAAAAACGTCCAGATGACCTGAGTGAACATTGTTGGATTTATACCTGGATTATTGAGCATGGACTTTGGTGAATTTAACAGACAGCTAACATGATTGCACCTTTGCTAAATAGAAAAGATAAATCCCCTGACTGTTGCTGTTGCATTTTTTTTTTCAACCTCCCTAACTGTGAGTTTAAAATAAAAATTGGTTGAACCTCCGTTTTACTCTAACCTGTTTCAAACACAGCTCTGTTTGGAGCAGGAGTAGTAACTGTCGAACATGTTTCCAGATATCCAGGACACTGATGATCACGTCCATCCCCAGAGAGATCTCCGACCCGGGACTCATCACCAAACACTTCCAGTACACATCTTTTCCTCTCTAACTTATCAAGTCAAGTTAAATCCTTTAACCCTGCTTATCAGAGAGATCCTTTATTCACCCGCAGCTTCGGCTGAACCCTAATCACCTTCTGTGTCCATCCACCAGTGAGGCCTACCCCAGCTGCACCGTCACCGACATCCGCTTCTGCTTCGACGTCCACAAGCTGATGAAGCTGGACCTGGAGCGGTACGACGGGCTCTGCTGGCATGGTTTGGGGTCTTTCTGCCAATTTCTAAAGGGTGGTGTGTGTTTTCAGGCGCAAAGCGATGAAGGGCAGGTTGTATTTTGCTACAAAGGCCCAAAAGGAGGGGAAGGTCATGATCAATACCCATCCATGCGCCCAGATGTTCTGCTGTGACATCTGTGGCTTTGAAAAGGTGAGCTTTATTATCACTCTACATCCAAAACATCTGCTGGTGTTGAACTGCACAGAAGAGGTTTAACCACTAGATGCCACTGCAATACAAATGTAAAACACTGCAGCAGCGGTCTGACTGGACACATGTAGAAAACTATGGAAGTAAGGGAACTCTGTTTCTGCAGGTGGACGCAGAACAGTACTACAGCGAGCTGGAGGAGAAGCGCACGGACGAGTTCAACGCGGAGAAGAACCGCATCTCCATGAAGAGGCTGGGGATCGCCTTCGTGACGTTTCGAGATGAGAGGATGACAGCCGTGTGAGCAAACCGAGCTCCAGGACGTTCCAGCGTTTAATGCACCCACTCCTTCTGCGCTTTTAACGTCTTGTTCTGTTTCGCAGCATCGTCAAAGACTACGGCCGCGTGCGGTGTCGTCGCAGACCCCAACAATCCAGCGTCACCACCGTGGTGCAGTCGCACAGATGGGGCATCAGCTACGCACCTGCTCCCAGTGACATCATCTGGTGAGCACCAGGAATTGAACTGGATCTCACGTTTCTGTAAACGTCTGAGCCTGCAGTTATTTAAAGGAGCTATACTGTGATGGTTTCTGAGTGTTTGTTCGTCTGTACTGTTAGCAAAATATCTTATGAATCACTGGCTGTACACCTAAACTGCTCATCTTTTGGAGTGAGCCTAACGTAAGATGGCCTCCACAGCTGACACCAAAATGGATTTATCTCAGTAACTTTTACAGATGTTGAGGGAAATTTTGTTGTGGTAGTAGCTGAGAGTCGTGGACAACACAAACACATGAGCACGTGAACCTGAGCTGTAGTCATTCAACCAAAGTAGCTCTAACGCATCTTTTCTCAACATGAGAAGATCACAGCATGATAACCCTAGGAAGATATGCGCTCCTTCTTTAATCCTCTTTTTTAATTCAAGCTGCAAAGTTTTGGACATTCACAACATCATACTTTATAATTTTCAAGGAAAAAGTGAGAAATTTGCACCTTTTCTGTTTTGTGCCTTTGTCTTTGTTTATAATGAGTATCCCAGCATGCACTGCATAAATAATCCACGACTGAAACTCCCACTCACATCCACAGAACAACAATGTCTGCTGACTGTGGGATGATGGCGACGCAAACAATATGCACACATAAATTTTGAGAGAAATATCGTTTTTGCACAACTCTGAACATTTTGACACTTCACCTCGTAATTAGGTCTGACATTTATGGCTTCTTTGGGAAGGACTGGATGCTGACAGGACTTTAGGGATAAGACTTGCATCATGCAAACGATCAAAGCATTCTTATGTCTTACACTTTTAAAAAAAAAACATTTAACCTAAATCAGTTTGTTGTTCATGCGTAGAAAACAAGTAGCATCTAATGGTCATTTCTGATTGGTGTATGAAGTGGTTTATATTAACTTATATTCACTCTTCGCAGCCGGAGCAGTTTTAATCGTTCTGTTTTGGAGAGCTAAATGTTGTCGGTGCTGGATGATCTCAAACGTGATGCTCGTTCTTCTTCTTGTCGCCAGGGAGAACCTGTCGGTGTGCGGGTCCCGCTGGTGGCTCCGCTGTGTCCTCCTCAACATCCTCCTCTTCCTGCTGCTCTTCTTCTTCACCACGCCCGCCGTCATCGTCAACACCATGGACAAGTTCAACGTCACGCGACCCGTGGAGAGTTTGAGGGTTAGAGCTGCAGGGATTTATTTATTTTTAGAGTTGTTTCAATTTGGCTTCTTTAAATAACCGTGTTGCTGTCCAATGCAGAGCCCAGTTGTTACCCAGTTCTTCCCAACTCTCCTGCTGTGGGCGTTTTCGGTGCTGCTGCCCTTCATCGTTTATTACTCGGCCTTCTTTGAGTCCCACTGGACCAGGTACGCACAACCTCCACTCTCCCCAGTCTCCTCCTGTTTCAGGCCTGTCTGTTACCAAAACATCTCATGAACCGCCAGACTAAGTTAAATACAAACCTGCAGGGAGTAATCGTTTGATGTAAATCTACAACTGATTAACTTTTAGAGTCAGCCTGATTAAAGATGGCCGCTTCAGCCAAATGATTTTACAAAACACAAAAAATCGCTAAAACTTTTGTCACTTTTACGAATATTCACCTCAAATTTGGTCTATTTGTAGCGGAGACCAATCCCCAACACATTCTGAATGTTAACAGATTACACAAAATCTTTTAACAGTTTGAGTTTGTCTGTTAGCAAAATATCTTCTGACCCACTGGACAAAATTTAACAGAACTTTCAGAGAAGTGAATGTACAACTGATTAACTTTCAGAGTCAATGGCCACCACAGCTAATCAACACTAGCCAACACAAAAATGGTTATAACTCGGCCTTTTTCAGAGATATTGAGCTTAAATTTGATGAGGTAGTAGCTGAGAGTCATCAATAACTCATAATATGAGCATGACATCGTGTGACATGGCATGGGGATTATAATATTATTTTGAAGGTTTGATTATTATGCACTCTTGCTCTTTTTACTCCCTCCCTGTCACTCTCCGTGCACCGTTATATTCTGGGCTGGTTGTCATAGAGACCTTCATGGGAGAATAATTGCATGCAATGTAGCCACCATGCGCTGTACACATGGTGGCTAGCAGGAGGAGAAGCGAGGCGATCGAGCATCGGGAGAAAGCCCCACCTATAGGTGCCCTCTCTTTACGTAACCACCCCCACAACTGGTTGCGTGCAGGCGTCCAACGTGCGAAGGAGCAACTATTTTACTGGAGTGAAAATGGTGGTTCATGAGAATCCATCAGCAGAGCTTTAATACGCAGCATCAGCTGATGGTGCATTATTAAAGGATTTGGAGCTAACTGCATCATCTGATGTTGCAGATCTGTTGAGAACCAAGTGACGATGCACAAGTGCTTTTTGCTGCTGGTGTTCATGGTCATCATCCTCCCTTCACTTGGTCTAACGAGGTACAACTCATACACGTATGCATTTCTTATGCTTCTACCCTATTTTTGTTGTTTAAATGTTTTTATGTTTTATCTGCAGTCTGGATCTTTTCTTCAACTGGCTCTTTGATGTCAACTTTCTGGAAGAGAAGGAGATCAAATTCCAGTAAGAGTCCTTTTTTATTTGCAAGAATAAAGAGTAACCAAACAACAACAGCTAAACCTCTTTTTTTTTTAAACTTATTTTAACAGGTGTGTATTTCTTCCTGACAACGGTGCGTTTTTTGTGAACTACGTCATCACCTCCAGTTTGATCGGCACATCCATGGAGCTGCTTCGGATCCCGGCGCTGAGCGTCTACGCCCTTCGCCTTTGCTTTGCCAAGTCTCAGGCCGAGCGGATTCATGTGAAAAGGGTTTGCAGATATTTGGTGCTTCACGCCACGTGCTTTGCTTCACTCAAATTTACAACCCTGATTGTCAAACGTACGAGGTGATGTGTAAAATATAAATAAATTACCATTTAAAAAAAAAATGCATCCTTCGTACTAAAGAGGAGTAGGACCATCCAGCATGGTATCAGCCCACAGTACCTAAGCCTGCTTCTCTGACGGTATAGGGGTGCATTAGTACCTATGGCATGAGCAGCTTATACATTTGGAATTGTCTATTATTTCCTCCTAAAAATGAATTTCTTAGTTTAAACATTAAATATGTTAATTATGCTACATTGTTAATAAATTATGAGTTTATGAGATTTGCAAATTATTATATTCTCTTTCTTATTTGTTACATTTTACGCAACATTTCAACTTTTTTCAGAAGTAGGGTTGTATAATGATCACTTATGTATATTTTCCTTGCAGAGTCAAGCTTATGAGTTCCAGTTTGGCCTGGAGTATGCCTGGACCATGTGCATCTTTGCTGTCAGTATGACCTACAGCATCACATGTCCCATCATTACGCCCTTTGGTGAGCGACACTCAGCTACCCTATATAACCTTGGTTTCTGGGTCAATTCCCTCCCGGTGGTGCACGTGTGTGCGCTGTTTCCCCTCACACTGTGACCCCAGCCCCTCCTGCCTGCCGCCTGCCAGTCGGACGCAGACTGTGTGAATATGCTGCTGTAGTCCCAGACACTCAGACACTGTGAATTGCGAGCCAGACGCCCACTCTGCTCCTGTCTCTGCCCAAAGCTCATCAAGTCTCTGTTTACTTCTGCAGGCTGATCGACCGTCCGAGCTGCACTCACACACACAAAAATTCGGCTTCGACACGAATTTCAGCTGTTTTACTTTCAGTAGTTTGGCTTTTTATGAACAAGGAGACCTGCCTGAACCAGTACTGAAAAGCTTTGCTCTGTGGGCAGCTCTACATTAAAGTGACTACGAAAGTTTAATATTCTGTAGGACCATGACTGTCTGACATCTTTTAAAGTTAGCAGAGTTGTTTTTATTCTCTGAATGTATTTGTTATTTTATGGTCATTAGTTGATTATTTCTTTAATCATTATCCGTTCAGTCCTTGTGCTTTGTCATTTTTAAACATCAACTCAAGGGATGAACTAGCTTTTTTTGCTCACTTGCTCTCGAGCAAGACGGATGCTTTTTCTTCTCTCTCCTGCTTTTCTGCTCTCTGTCCTGTGTATCGGAGCTTCTATTTACACATCTTCCGAATCATAAATTACTGTCATGGATTTGGTCAGCTGGACTTTATTAAAAAAATTTCTACCAAGCGACAGGATCCTGGAGAACCCTCGTGCCCTGCTGAGGCGCACGCGGCAGGGTATGTCATGGATCTGTTTGGCCTTTCTGTGTTGTCTCAGGAGGATGCCCAGATCACTGGATTTATGATACCAGGGTTTCTGCTTTTTGGCACCGTCGGATACCTACGTATGTTATCGGCTATTAAGGAAGATGGCGGCAGCAGCTTCGGCCATGGCAAAGCTGCCATGTGAAGGGTCAGTTCGTGCTTCGAGCTGCAGGCTCAGCTGATCTACAAGCTGGAAGTGAGTTATGAGGATCGCAGGCCACTTGCGGCTTTGGAACTCGCCAGCATGTTGGGATCGACCTTGGAGAAAGATATAAGCACGGACCAGTGGAAAGTCCACAAATCTGGCCGATTTGGATATCGAAAGTACCAGCAGAACTCAAGGCTGACGAGAAAAAACAGTCTGCCTGCACAAATAAAAACAACTGTGGCTTATCTGACTCTGGCTCCCCCGTTTGACCTTGATGCAGGCCGACATCAAATTTCTCCTGAGATATGTGTCAACTAAGAAGGCTCTGTTTATCACAACCCCCCGAGAACTTCTGTGAACACACATCAGAGCTGCACCGACTGACACCAACATTTTATCAGGACTATGGTGCTATCTGGGAGTGCTTCATGGACAAATCTCACCATCTTGTCATCAAATGCATATGTAATGTGTCTATGAATGCTTGCTGGTAAAGATATTGATGATTTAAATCGTGTCCTGACGAGGACAAGGCATGAAAAGATCTTTTTTGTAATACCACTATCCTTTCCTCATGGTCCTTCCCCTTTTCGTTCTAAAGAATAAGGGGCCGCGCTCCTAGGAACTGCAGCCATGTGCACTCCGCCCATCTTTCGGATGACTGTACGGAATATAATCTTGCTGTATTTCAGTGCAATGACAATAAAGCATATTCTGATTTTTATCTTAGAAAACTTATCAAATTACTCTTTTAAAAATAGTCTTAGATCAAAAATCCAACCTGTTCTCATTTCTTTAGTTGAATCTATGAGCAATATTTCAGGGTGATTCTATGGAAAATTTATCAATTTTTTTTCTGTTTGTAGATGCAGGTCAGGTTCATCCCTTGAGTTTAGGTACCTGTTGTAAGACTGAGGCATTTATTATGAATCTCTATGATGAGTTTAACAAGAAAATTATTCTGAAAGCACTCGAATGCAAGAATTGGACTGAAAATGAGTGAAAGAAAAAATCTTGGGAAGACCTGTAGGAAGTGTAGAGGCCTGAATAGAGCAAACAAACATGACGTTTTATTGAGTTTGAAATATATTCATGTTGTCGTTCGTTTCCCTGAGTTTTGTCTCATGGTGTCCCAGTGTGGATCCAGATGTATCTGTATCTGTAAAGACTATCTAGCTGAGTTAAACAGATTTATGATCGTCCAATCTCCTATTTTTGCTTTTCTTGTCCGTCCAGGTCTGCTTTACGTGATCTTGAAGCACATGGTTGATCGCTACAACATCTACTACGCATACGTTCCCACCAAGCTCAACCAGAAGATCCACAGGGCAGCCATCAGCCAGGTCATCGTGGCGCCGATCCTCTGCATGTTCTGGCTGCTCTTCTTCTCTGTGCTCAGATTAGGTACTTCATCGCTGCCGTTCCTTCACCGCAGCCGTCGGTGCTTAACTGAGGCGCGGTGAGATCATGGTGTTATTTTTCTGCACCGTCACAGGTCCCGTCCACCCCATCACCCTCTTCACATTAGTGTCCCTTGTTTCCTGTGTTGCCTGTTCCGTTTTCCGCATGTGCCTTAGGAAGACACCTGACAAGTCGACGAGCTACCAGGTCTGCCACCTCCCCACCCCTCACATCCACCCAACACACAAAAAATACACAACAACCAAAGATTAGTGCAATAGTTCAATATGTGTCCCGATCTTCAATGGGTTTGTTTCAGATGTCTGATCAGCCAACCACAGGAACGTTCACTGATGCAGACAGAAGCTCCGCGACCTCCACCACCGCCTCCAGCGTACAGTACCACCTTTTGCTCTTTTATTGGCTTATAATTTTAAATGAAACCCATTTTCAAATCCTCCTGATATGAATGAAGGGGTTTCTCAAATGCTGGAGGAGCTTCAAAGCTAACAGCTGCTCCTCAGTGACGAGCCTAATGAGTAGTTACGTAATCTTTTTAAATGTTTAGCAGAAAGATCAAACCTCAACATGTCCCGATTCTTCTGAGCATCCAAGCGTTTAGGTCTTTGACAAACTCTCTGTGAATTGAGCGACACGATGCTAACCTGTATGCTGTTCTGCCTCCTTCAGCTGTTCGTGGCGTCCGTTTTGCTGGAGCCGGAGCTGGCTTTAACGCCGATGCCCTCCCCGGCTCACCATGGATACGGCGCCATGACGAGCTCCCAGAGTTCCAGTCACGACCCGGTGACGGGAGCGGAGGCTGAGGAGGAACACACCCAAACTCACGAGACTGAGCTCCAAGACGCTGCACACCCTTACTGCTCCAGCCCACTCATGAACAGCCCTGTTGGCTACCAGTGACACCAAATCAGCCCCCAAAACTAATATCCACGTGTCTTTTGGACAATTTATTCAATCCCGCAGTGTTGCATTTTCACAACTGAGCTTAGACTCTTAATTTAGCTGCTTGGGTTTGTTTGAGAAGAAGTCTGAGAACACAAGACTCATCAGTCTCAAGAGACATCAAACCAGTGTACAGATTCCAGTTTAATAAACAGGAGCTCCACGAATCTGTTTTCAACAACCTCATTTGCGAGTTAAACGGGTGAACTCATTGACAGGGAGTCCATGCTGCCTCCTAAATGTGAACGGAGGTGAAAGTTCCCACTGGAGCGGGTGGTGTGAGCAGGCTCGCCCCGGCAGACTGGCAGTGGCCCGGCTATGGGTGATATGTGCTTCCTCTGTGAGGGCAGCGAGTTGTGAAGCCATCTGCAGCGAGAGAGCAGACAGACGGAGATCCCAACGCAACTCCGAGATGTACTGTTGAACATTCAGCTTCTCCGAGCCTACAGCTCCGTGTAATTTCTTTCAATTTGAGGTTGATGTTTTTTGCTACAGTAATTTTTGGTGTTGTTGATGCTGTGCATTGGGTTGGGGTTAAATATTCTGTTTGGACTGTAAATAATTAATTGCATTTGCAGGGTTTTTTTATAGCTCAAATTTTTTGGAGGAAAACAAAGCTAACTCACTTTCTTGGAGAGAGTTTGGTAGTCGGCAGCCCTCCTGTATTAGGGCAAAATAAACAAAACCAAAAGCACGTTTCTCATTAATGTCGATGCAATTGCAATTTTTGAAAAAGTAATGCATACAAGTAACAAACGAAAATGATTTAAATGGTCATAAAATGGAGTTTGGGGAATTTTACGCACTAAAAATTGCTGGGTTAAAACCCTGTGAGGTTTTAATGCAGGGTTATCATTTTAACCTGGCGTTAAGTTTTCTACCCAAACATTTGTTTAAAATCATGAATTTGTTGAATTAAAGCTACTAAAAGATAAAAAAATAAAAAATCTAACTCAACCTACAACTTTTACCCAACGGGTTTTAAGTGTGCGGTCTTGTTTTCAGATAAATTGACAATCACAAAAACCAAATGGCACAAAAAACATTTAGTTTAAAAGCCTGAAATCAGGTGAAGGGGTCGAGACGACTCTTTCCTGACAGGGTGTTGAGTTTTGTCTCACAAATGTAGAATCCATCTTTTCAGCAACAAATGAGTTAAAAATCCTTTAAAAGCACGTATTTGAAAATATTCCCTGGAAATGTCTTCTGTGGAATATGAATCTATTCCACTGAAGGAGATTTCAGCTGCACCCTGACATTATTGTTTAATGAAGCGTCTCTGTCTTTATGAGTCCAGCTAAATGTTTACAAGTTTGGACGTCATTTGGAGGATTTTTAATTCATGCTAGCTGATTGTCGTCGCTCATGTTCATGCTGTGCCTTGAAGGAATATTCCCCCGCTCTTAACGACAATCCAGCACGGCCTGAAAATATGCTGCAGATGAAATTCACAAATACAAAACTCATCAGAGAAAAGTTATTTCCCTCTTGATTTCTGGTTTAGTCAAATTAAGCAGAGACTACCTTCTAGTACGATATAAACGGAATTACTGTGCTTATCAAAATCAAAATATTTTATTAGTTGTCACTAGACTAGAGCTGCTCTGAGTTTCCATCTTCCTGGAGTCACATGATATGGATGAGTTTATTTGGATAAATGTACGAGTCAGAAACACGTGATCAGCACAACAAAACTACCGAGTGGACTTAAACTACAGGTGCATCTCAAGAAATTAGAATATCGTGAAAACGTTCATTATCATTTCAGAAAGTGAAACTCGTATATTGCATAGATTCATTGCACATCTGTTTTTGATGATTATGGCTTGCAATAATGAAAAAACTAAATTCAGTGTTTCTTTATTTGTAAGCCATACTTATCAAAGTACAAGAAATAAAGGCTTGAAATATTATATATATTATATATTGACAAGAAATAATGAACTTTTTCACCATATTCTGTTTTGAGATGCGTCTTGAGTTAATTTTAATATGCAAGTTTAAGTTGAAACAATTATAAAATTAGGTCAAATTATTCCAGAGATAAGTATATTTTGCTTTAATGTGTGGCTCCACAAACAAAAACTGATGGTGTAGGTCCATGAAGTGAACTGTCCATAACTGTTTAGTTTTTTTTTCTGAAATATTGCTTGGTTTCTCCTGGAAAATGTCAAAATAAACGGGATATTTCCAGCTCTATAATAACCATGCCACTTATAATAACCACTTTGATGCTGACAGTTTTATTGTAATCTGGAATGTCTGTTTCTGTACAGTATGAGGTCTATTAGTTTCCCTGATTTTCCTTCTTAAACATGATAAACGCTTTATTTAAAGTTTGAGTCTGTGGGTTTTATCTCCAAGAGGCATGCTTAAAAGTGAATTATGATAAATGATTTATTTTTTCAAAAGTGGCGTTTGTAAAAGAAATAATAAAATCTTGTGTTGAGACTTGGATAAGACGAGGATGAACAGGATGCGTTCAGTAGTTCTGAGCCCATCTGCTTCTTTTATTCTGTACAGAAACGAAAGTCTAAAAACAACAATTTGTGGTTCTCCTGCAGCTGGTAAAGATATAGTCATGTCTAGAATCTTTGCTTTAATTTTTACTCCTTTTTGAACATAATGATAGAGGAAAAACACGATGTACTAACGAGAAGGCTTTAGACTTCCTGGAAAGCAGATTATTTCTGGTGGAAGCGCAGCTGCTGGATGTATATTTAACGGACAGAATCTGTCATCTACTCCTCGACAGGAACAGATAAACATAACTTCAGTTATTTATTTAAAATCTGTCAATCTGTACCTGCTGATCATCTTGAGAAGAAATAAATAGATCCTCGTTTCACTGGAAAAGGCTCTTCGAGAGTCCAAGTATGTTAGCTCTGTTGGCTGCGAGGTGTGTGTCCGCATACAAACTACCCCTGGGACAATCCTCTGTACATACTGCAGACGTCACAGGAGTTTGGATAGGTCATTCACGCAGCAAGTGCTCGTGCGCACACCACGCTGGATGCTGGAAGATGCTGTTCAAGCAGAGAAGTGAAGCTTTTCCTAAAAAAACACAAAACTGGTGGCATTTCCCTGCAGCAATCGATGAATTTACAGGAGAGATGCTAGAATCCTGCTTTTTATTAAACGCAGGGCTTCTTTGGTGCTGTGAGTTATGAAAGAAGGGGAAAAAACACTCCTTGACATTTCTCTTGTCCCCCGTGGCAACTGCCTGTCTCAGTGAAAGGTGAATTCCTTTGGGGGTTTCAGCTTCTCTCCTGCACAGATGCTCAGCATAGAAAATATCTCAGCCTCCTGCTGCAAACGTACCGTCACTCCCGTATGGGTTAGTTTCAGACTGAAAGGAACTTTCTCATGTCTTGTATAACCCAAACAGGTAAGCAAAAAGCCTTATTAGATAATTGGGGTTATTGCCTGTCAGGCTTCACTACTCGTCTGTGGGATTTAGGCTGAGTGACTGAGTGAGCGTTACTTTCCTCCATCAAACTCTCACACACACACATATATATATACAGTTAACTGTTGCCATGACAACATTCAATACCCCTTGATACTATGTAAAACACATTGCAGACTCAAAAAATTGTCTTTTGAGACTCCCCTTCAGACTGCAGCCCTCATGATAAATAAGGTAAGCATATAGGACCTGATTATTTATATAATTACTGCTCATAAAAAAATAACTTGTTGTATAATAGTAATGCATAATAGTTGTATGTGAAGCCCAACCTTGAGACAAACTGTACCAAGACATGGAGCATGAAGCAATACAAATCCAGCAGACTGCTCTGACACAGATATTGTGCAAAGAGACATATTAAGGCCATGTCTACTGCAACAGTCAGCCAACTCATGGATGTGACTCTTGCACAGATGTGGCCAAACATCTGTGACAGAAATGATCCCGGTGTATTAAGATAAACTCCTCGTACCGTCTCTCAAAGTGATTTCAAACGGAGTTCTGGGAGCGCTGTGGCAGTGTGCTGCTGTGCATGAAGTCCTCATCTCTGCAGCTGACGGCGACGAGCCCATTCACCGCCTGGCTCTTATGTAACTCTCGGATGGGCTGTCAGCGGGAAAGGAGTCAGGCATTGTGTGATTGATTTGAAAAGCTGATGATTTTGTAGTCTGTGAAAAACACACCGACTTCATTTAGCAGTGAAATACCCACAGATCACTTTATTCAGTATTAGGTAAACACACAGCATGTTCTGGAAACTGTACGATGGGATTTCTTTTACTACAAGTGAGCGCTTGTACCCTCTCTAACAGCAATGTGCATTTTTGGTTGATAACTCCAAGTCTTCACTGTTCGATAGCAGCTGATAATGATGAGGTAGTGACACAGCCATTATACACACATTGAAACGTTAAGCCATTTGTCATGTCACATGTCAAAAGGCTTACTATCAGTGAAAACGTGACAGAAAACAAGCTGCGTATAGGGCAGCTAACTGATACTGAGGAAAAGAGTTACTATAACTACACAGCAGGTTAACAAACATTACACCTTTGGGTTGGTCTAAGTACAGACTGGATAAAACAGTTCAGTTGTGTGGAAAGGTTATGAGCAGTTATCATCTTACCTGTAGCAGATAGTTCTTTGAGGGTCCTCATTTTGACAAAACGAACGTTTACTCTAACTAGATCGTGAAGCTAATTGATAATCTAAATGGGATGAAGATCAAATTGGATTGCTGCCATCTTAAAACGGGTCTAGTTTTAAATATTTCTTTACGGTTTACATCAGCACAAGTTTTAAAACCTTTACATTGCTGTCAGTTTTGCAATATGTGGTCATTTATATTGTAGGGCCTAGATAACGTCTTCATCTGTAAAGGCAATATCTGAGCATGTAGTATTTTGTCTTACCTCAGAGAAAACTAAAAAATATACATACCACAATAACTCCTATTAAAGAAAAATGGCTATTATACAACTGAACCTTGTACAGCTGTATTATGAATCTTCAAATCAACCTCCTAGCGGTCAGTTGTTGAGTCGTTTGTTTAATTATATAGTAATATATCCACAACATGTAAGCACAAACAGTGACAGCAGCAGCTAGCTGTATCCCTTCCTGGGCAGCCTGTGGCACTTTTAGCCAGAATATAAAAACATATTTCCTGGATTAACTGTGAGACTGAGTTATTTAAACATATCAGCAATCTAATTCTGTCCAGGCCCTGCTCGGACTAGCCACTGGCTCATCAATTACACTCAGTTTCTTCAAACTGAGGTTGATCAAAACCTTATCCACAACAGGTAAGATGTTCGCCATGCCTAACCTTTTCAAAAACCCTACTTTGAACATTCTGAACGCTTCCTTAAAAGAAACTCGCTCTTCAAACACTAAGACATTATATCAGATGAGTGTGTGCTGCTTGACATTTGGGGAACACTCTTTCTCAACATGTACAGTTCAGAATATAAAAATAAACTTTATAAAGACAAAGACTAAATAAATAACAGCCACCTATCAGTAGGCTGGATTTACAGTTGAATGGTGTTATCTAATACTTGGCACATCGTTTTTTTTTAAGTTACTTGGCTCTCATCATGAAGGTAAATAACTCAGTGTTGTGGCAGTATTAACATTAACTGGGCAGAGTTTCTCCGCATCAACCGTTCGGTGATAATGCATTAAAAAATGCCTCATGTTCTGTTATCCCCTCCTTTACAGGAGCGGTAAAACTACATTTGTAGCCACAACAATGCAATTTAAGAGCATAAGTACAACACAGTAAGAATACTTCACACTATCAACAAATTGAAACTGCTAGCCAAGAAACAAACTTGTTGCAATTTATCCGTTTTGCCCTTGGCAGTCAAACGCTGACAGTCACGTAACAGTCTATTGGTTTGATTTTAACAGTCGTTAGACACCTACTGACACTTAAACCCTCAGATGAGGAGCGCATCACACGTCACGCAGAATAAGGTGCACACGAACACCTTAACAGTCATAAATCACTGAAAAAAAAAGCTATCAGGAAGTATAACAGTTCTTGTCAGTAGCTATTGAATAACATTTAGTAAACTTGGTTGAAATTCAAACAACACAGTCATGAACCAAGATAACTCATGTAACATTATAAAAAAAAAAACACACAGTCCAGATTAAAGTGATTTGATTTTCACCTGAAAAACCACGTTGCGTTGCCACACAAGGTCGAAGTATTTCTGTGTTTCAGATGAATAAAGAGCTGCCTTCGCTGACCACAATTAACAGTCACAGTTTGTGTGCGATGCTGAAATGTACACATTGTTTTACACGTGTGCAGCTCGGTTAAGATACACCACAAAGACCACTACAGCCACCGTTATTGTTTGAGTAAATATATATCAAAGCTGTTATGTACAAAGAGACTCGGCAGGGCTCCTCGATGCTTTCTCTCAGTGCTTCCCAGATTGACTCGGACTCTCACAGCAGCGTTGGATGGAAGCTAAACATCCACGGTAAAGAAAATAAACTCTGCGATCAGTCGGTCTGCATCTAAAGTGTAGCTATACCATACAGTCGCTATGCTAAACAACCCAACTCACAGAGCAAACGTACGGCAGCCAAAGCCACAGTGCTGCAGTTACACAACCTTATTCCATGGCAACCGTGTTGATGATTTGACAAGCTCCCGCTGCGTGCCTCAGTCGGCCTTGTCCTCTCCGTTCTTGGCCCACCCTCGACTCATCGCCGCCACTACGATGCTGTACATGTTGAGCCAAGCTTGGCGCAGCGGTGCCGTGTAGGCCTGACCCAGACTGCACTGCAGCATAAAGAGAAGGGCCTCACCCACCACCTGAAGAAGTCAAACGCACAGTGAAAAAAAACCTTTCTGTATCTCGTTCGTACGCGGAAGTGCTTTTTGGATCGCGCTTGTCCTTACGGCGAACGACTGCGTGCTGACTCCCACCGCCTGATGCTTCTTCCCGAGGTTGAGCAGGAATTCCTCCAAGGAGTGAAGATCATCCAGGTGGCTGACTGCCGCGTCCAGCACGAGCATCACCTGCAATCATGGCGACAAATGCGTGAAAATTGTTTTCAAAACTGTATTTGTTGTGGGGAACCATGCTCACCTTGGTGACGTGGTCCAGGAACTCAGGACTGGAGAGGCAGTCTTGTTTTGAACCACAGTTTGCACTGTAGTTGAAAAGACCGAGGAGCTCAGGGTCCAGCTCGAACAATCTGCCACAGACAAACACCGTGCAAAATACCAATAAACAAGACACAGGCTCAGAGACACACGCAGACACAAAACCAGCCTGTGCATTACTCCTGCTACAGTCTGGTTTGGCTGCAGCCATCTCAAAGTAAATTGTGGATTATTGCAGTCTGTCGCCAAGCAACAAGTCAAGCCTCTGGTTCCTGCATGGGAAAGAGTGCAGCAACGCTTATCTTGCTCTCCCCACCTGTGTTACATATTCTGGCACCACAGCTATAAAGTACAACATTGTGACAGAATAAACTGAAACTAAACTCTCCTAATTAGTCTTCTCCCTGCTCTTCCTCCCTCTGAGTGACGCCGGACCATTACCTGGTGAACATGATGACACCGTGAGGAACTTTGTTCTTGCCCAGGCTCTCCCAGCTGTCTCGTATCAGCTCCTTGTCTTTCACGGAGAGCTCCTCCATCGTCCCTGCAGGCACAGAGACAAGTTCCTCTGCAGGAGAGACACACCACTCCTCCACAGGACAGCAAATCAAGATCAAGGTCAAGAAAAGCCACAAACAGAACTTCTGCCCACCCACCTGGAACACCAAGTGCAACATCACATGGCTGTTTGTGTTTGAGATAGATGAATAAAATGGTGTCATGGCTGCAGGAGAAATGATCATACTGTACCTTTCTGAGGTCAGTCCTCTCTCTGGACTTCTCCTGGAGCGATGTGCCTGTTTCTCTGTGTGTGAGTGTGTTTGTGATGTGCAGACTGCTCCACTTGTTCTCTCTTCCCACTGGCCCACGGTGCAGTCAGGAAGGACAAGTTCTGCCACACTCTTATCTGTCACAGCGGCTGCTATCTCTCTCCTCTTTCGTTTGCCTCTTGATATGCTCTCTCTCCAGCACTGGGGATAATATTCATGCCACTGAAGGAGAAAAAAGGGATCTCTCTCTTCTGCTCCACAGCTTCAGCAAGCCACAGCTCCTCCTGCAGGTGAACCGGGGACTATTTAATCTCCATGCACGCACACAAAAACTTTCCTGTAGGACTTCTACGTGATAATGAGGATACATCAATCAAGAAATCACAACGAACAGCAAAATAACCACAAAGAAAACACACCAGCTGAACATTTACATTACAATTGCTGGTTTCCAGTTGGTGAACACCATTTAAGGGCCTTTATCATCTATTCTGAGATGTTTCCTCAGCTGCCTACATTCGCCACCCATGCATTTACAAAATGAAATGCGTGGGAATTTTAAAGACTACAATCATAGGAGACCTGAACATGCCACCTTGGTCAAATTATATTGCTCAGCTACCTTTGCAGAACCACTCCTCAAACAGCCGTTATCATAACATTCAGTGGCCAAGCGTGCAGCCTCTCATTAATCTAAATGAGATGTGTTTCCTCTCTCTCAGCCTCCAGGCTGCAGTTTGTTTAAATCTGCTCCCTTGCGCATTTTCACCGACGCAGATTCCCGCTCGAGTTATTCGCCCAGCAGGTTCGAAAGGACCGGGTGTGTTCTCAGCCGTGCATCGGGGAAGCAGAGGTGCTCGGCTTTCTCCTGAGGGAGAGTGGGGAAGGATACAGCGTTCCCATGACAACCTGAAAGGATGGAGCCCTTGAAAGCTTCGTCATGTGATATGAGTTCAAAGACAGAAATCTGATTGTTTAGTTCACCTGATGTGTTTTTTATGCATAATTTCATTCAATAAAATCAATGCTGAATATAGTTTTTTCTTTTGTTGCCACATTTAAAAAAAGATCCACTGTACATCCCTCTGTAAGTGCAGAACTCTGTCCTTAGAACCAGTAATCACCATAAAGATCTTAAAAAGCTTTAAGGCAAGGCGCAGTGGCCAACAGAAGGTAACTAAAAGGCACACTGATCCTCATGATGACCCTTTGATTATGTTTTTATACGTATTCAGACATTCCCGTGTGGTTTGTACATAAAAATGATCTCTGAAATTCCTGGCAGCCAGCTGTCAAAGCACAAGAGTACAGCGGAGGTCAGTGTTCGGGGAGTTTTGATGTGGATTTGCAGGCTTGGAGCGGAGCGCTGCACTGGTCTGAGCGAAGGCAGATGCACAGCGAGGACTGTTTGTATAGCTGGCAGAGTGGCTCTAGAAATAACTAAAAGCTCGAGCCCACTCACTGAAGGGAATACCATATTTTCTTTTACTAAATTACTAAATGTGACATTTTAGGATAAGGTATAAAGAAAAGGCCATTTGCAGGATTTAAAACGAGGACAATGATGCCCAAAACATCTTATTATTCATGTTAGGCTTAGATGATTTCTGCTGAGTAGTGACTAAAAAAGACAAATATGACAAAAAAAACATGGCACTCGTGAAAGTAAAAGCTAATTTATCCATGTAGATCCTATAAACAACGAGCAGATTAAATGATTAAATAATGCTTGTGATTATCAACAGGTCTGCAAAGACTCTTCTAAAATTGTGTTACAGCATATTTTACTAACATTTATCTTTCTTAGCCTCATTCCTGACTTTTTATTGGTTGCATAACTTGCATTTACAACTTGGTTCAAAACAATTAACACAACATTTAACATAATTACAAGTGAATTTTTCAGTCTTTTAAAAATCTTAACATTTTTACAAAAACATCAATATCTGCACTTAAATATTTACAGTTCTACGAAACCTTTCTTTTTCGGCTCCATGCCCTCGTGGCAGTAAATTTCACGTTTCGTAATTTTATAATTTTTAGGTGTACAGTGACAAACGATCAAGTCTTAGTGCTGGCTGTGACATGAATCACTTTTGAGGACAGCGTCGTTTTCTGGTGGAGAGGCCACAAAATCTCAGCTGTGCCCGAACCTTTTTGATCATGGCATTTCTTCCCCTCTGGACTTCACGCTCTCCTCTTCCACATCTTCAATTTTCTCCCCGTCGTCTACATTTTCTTCCCTAAATCAGACATTTCGGGTTAGAAAATGCCTATATTGTAATTACGTCGAACTTTTTCTTGGCATGTTCCTCTTTTTTTTCACTACAGACGGCAGAAAGAGTTGAGAAATTATGTAATCCAGCATGACCAAACCACATGAAGTCCTTGGCTTTCAGGCAGCGGAGCTATTCATAATTTTACCGTATGCAGTGCTATTTCACGGCGGATGAATTCAAAGCTGCTTACCTGCTTTGCTTTTCGTCGTCAGTGCTGGAGTCGTTAGTTTCTGAGTCATCCTCAGATCTGAATGATTCCCCGGTTTCTTCAACAAACTTCTCCTCTAACCCAGCCTTCTGCAGTTTGCTCCTGTATGCCTGCTCTGCACGGGCCTTTTCATTTCTCTGCCAATAAAAAAACACCGTTACGCCGCTGGAGGAGCACGTCGCATGCATTGTGTAGTGGACATTCAGCTTGTTGGTCCCTACCTGTTTCACCTGTTCAAACAAATAAGGGCGTTCACTGACTCGAGCCTTCATGTCCTGTAGTTCTCTCATGTATTCTCTCGTTCTCTGCTGATCGGCCTCTCTTCAAGCAGACAAAGATTACCCTTTCAGTTACTGCAGCAGGCATGTTCAAATGTGAAATGCAAAAATTGCAAATTTAACTAGAGAAATTGCATTTCCTTTGACAATGCAGTGTGAATGCTGATTGAAAAAGAACTTGCTGAAATTAGCTATTAAAAAAGCATTCTGAAATGTAGTTGAAATGGAAGAACAAGCCTAAATTAGCAGAAGAAATCAGAAAGAAGACATATTTTCTGAATTAGGTTTAAAAAAGCAGAAATGAGCACAAAAATTAGGAAATCAGCTAAAAAGAAGCTGAAATGAGCAAAAATATCTAAAAAGGTAGCTGAAAAGGCAAAAAAAAAAGCTTACAATAACAGAAGAAAGCAGAAAAAGCTGAATGAGCTAAATTAACTGAAAACCCTAAAATGTTAAATTTCAGGTTTTCAGCTAATTCCAAAATCAAAAGAGCAAAATAGTAGCTGAAAGAGCAGAAAAAGCTGAAAGAAGAATAACAAGCTGAAATTAGCATAAAGAAGTTAATTAGAATGAAATGTCAGAAATTAACATGAAAAGCTTGAATTTATCTGAAAACGGCTGAAATTAACTAAAAAGTGCTTTAAAAAGGTAGCTGAAAGTTAAAACAAGCTTAAATTAGGATACGAAAGCAGAAAAAAAGGTTTGCCCAATTCGGCTGAAAGAAGCAGAAATTAGCACAAAAAGTGGAAATTATCTGAAAAAAAAAAAGAAACTGAAACAACAACAAAAAGCAGCAGAAAAGTAGCTAAACCAGCAAAAAGAAGCTTAGTTTACCAGAAGGAAGTGAAGAGAGCACATTTTTGCTGAATTAGACTGAAAAAAGTTTGCATGAGTGCAAAAAGTGTGGAATTAGCCAAAAAAGCTAAACTTATCATAAAACAGCTAAATAGTTGCTAAAAAAGCAGGAAAAAAGCTGAAGCTTGCATAAATAAGCTGAAAGGAGCATAACAAGCTGAAATTAGCAGAAAGAAGTCAGAAGAAGCACAAACATGTTGTAGTTAACAGAAAAAATCTGAAAGGAGAACAAAACAGCTGAAAAAACAGCTGAAAAAACAGCTGAAAGTAGCTGAAAAATGGTTAAATTCGCTCAATGAAGCTGAAATGGAACAAAATGTGAAAGGAACAGTAAAAAGCAGTAAAAAGATCTAAAGATTTGAAGGATGTAAAATGAGCTCAATTTATTTTCTATGAGGAAAAAGTGGCAGAAAAGGCTAAATATTTCAAAAAGCTAAAGTTGCACCAATAACAAAAGTCATAGCAGGATTGTCCTGAAAGAGCTGAATGTTTTGATTTATGATTTGTTGAAATGGCACAAAAATTGTAGAACGAGAAAGATGCTGAAAAATGTACGGAAGAAAAATAGATCACAACAGTGAATGCTTCATGAACATTCACACAACCAACCGATGGCGCTTTAAATTTTCACTATACACGTCTTTTAAGCTGCTGTGGGGGTCCAGGAACTTTGCGTGAAGGACTACAGTCTTCTTCATGGCCTGGGATCTCATCTTGTAGCTCGTCAACCAGTCGGTCGTTTCTTGATTCTTACTTTCCCTTAACTCCATCGATTTTCTGTTAAGATACAAAATACTGCGCATATCAGATTATTCCACTTATGAGATGAAAGAGAAACTGGGGAAAGGAAATGCCTAAACACCCTGAGCTCACCTGATGGCCGTGCAGCGCTGCCTCGCAGCATCTGTGATGTACGTGGGGAGAGTGTCGGCAGGTATCAGCGGTACAGCTCCAAGTGACCTGCTTCTCCTAAGATCACTGAATTTAGGTACCTATATTTAAAAAGAGAAAACAAAACACTATCTTTTTTTATCTGACCTCAAAGCCAAACATTACACTAGAATCATTTATCCCTGTATATTTAAGAGTTTAGTTAAAAAGGAAACTGCAGAGTTTAGTCACAGCCCAAGTAAAGCTGATATAATGTATATAAAATGCAAACATTGTGAATGGATTTTGGGTCATTAAAGACAGAAAAACCAGTACAGGGAGTAGCAATTTGGCACAGATTTGATGTATTTATTGTTTAGTTGCACCATTAGTGCTTAAAACTGGGGTTTAATTATGGTCAAAAGAATAATGATGAGAATTAGTCTAATTAGTCTGACATAAAGTGCTGTAGAAGAATAAACATGACAAACACTTCATGTTAACTGATGAATAAATACATTAAATCAACCTCCATTTAAAATGCTGATGTTTTAATTCCTTGCGCCAGAAAATATTGTATTGTTTTCTCAAAAAAATGCATTTAATTTATGAGTAGCCGCTATTAATTTGGGAATAATCACAACTATAAAAACTTGCTCAAATAATTACAAAACTGTCTAAATAAATAAGAATGAACGAAGCATGCTGTTTTAAAATAAAATCACACAATAAAGCAGTTTAAAGAAATAAGTGATTTCACTCCAACTTGTTCCACTGTGTGTTTTTAGGTTTCCTGTCTTCATCTAAGTGCAGTTTTACTTAAATTTAGAAGATTTTGCCCCAAAATGTCTGACAAGTGTCATAAAGAAAAACTCTGATGATTGGATAATGTTGGGCTGAGTCCCAAAAATACATGAAAGCCTGACAGGAAATATTTTCACCAGATTACAAAGTCCTCTCTGCTATTTTGGTCTGGTGTAAATTACTGTTATTCCTACCCAATTACTGCTATGGTTATATTTACTCTTTAATACTCTCATGTGAAACATCCAGTCAGACAAAAAGAAGAAGAAAAAAATGCTACAAATCTTCTAAAAAGTATATTTTGCTGTTTGAGCCACGCAATGAAAAATACATAGCTGAATATAGAGGGCTCTGTGGAAATGAGGCTTGAATCAAAGATTATAACGTGGAGATGATTGACATGTGACAGGAACTTCACGTCTTTGAAGGTGGACGACTCTAAAATCACGAGGGGAGGAGGCTGGACGGCCTCACAAAACAACACAAGAACTTACAACAACCTAAACCAGCCAATAAATCTTGAGCAATAAAACATTTTGCTCCAAAAGACGAGAAAAGAGAGAGAGAGAAGCTAAATGTGACCTGGTCAAGCTTCTTTGTTACATTTTGGGGAAAAGCTGCAGGAAAATGTTATAAAACTGGTATAGATTATAGGAATGACCATTTGCTCCTGCAGTTCAGGATTTAAATTGTTCAAAAACAGCCATCTTGGCTTCTTTGGAGATAAAACATTTTACTACCGTCTTCTTGAAGGGTGAGGTTTCTGGACTCTCCGCGTTTTTCTTGGCAGGTAGAGCTGACGTCCTCAAGAAAAAGGGTTGACACGTTGTTGCCTCTTTTCTCTGCGTTCTGTCCGGCGCTTCTGTCCGCAGGGCCTTGTGCAGCCGGCTGAAGTTTGGGACCTTATGGATGATTTTAGGCTGGAAGCTCGGCTTCTCGTTCAAGAACCCCAGCTTTTGCTTCCTGCTGAGGTCGGCAGAGCGGATTGTGAGGCCCTGAGTCTGAGCTGAGTTCCCCTGCCTCGTTGCCATTCGATTGTAGACTTTTGTACAAACTTCCTCCTGGTCTGTGCAAAAATAAGGTCAAATGTGCTGCGTTACGTCACAGTGAAAGGTGGAACAGGTGCGATTAAGCTCCGATCTGCAGAAATTGTATTTTGTCTTTCAGCTTTGGGCTCCTGAATGAAAATATTTTTAAATTTTGAGCACACTTGAGAACAATTTACAACTTCTTCACCCTTAAAGCAAAGTCGTTAAAAGTGTTTCAGAACAGGGACATTCAATTAAATTGCTCAGGGGGGCCACAGTTACTGAAAGCCAAGAACTCAGGGGCTGGACCTAAAGCAGTTATTGTCATTAATGTTTGTTTTATGGGTTAAAATCTAGTTTAATTTAAAAATGAACCCATTGGTGGGCCAAACTGTGTTCACACATTGGCCTAATTTGGCCCCTGGGCCGACAGTTGAATAGTCCCGTTTTAGAAACTATAGTTTATTTGTTGTTGTTTTTTCATTCCCATCTTAAAAAGTAAATCTTGAGCTGTCAGTTCTTGTTTTGTTTTGTTTTTTTCTTGACAACATATCAATATTTTTATCTTTTAAATCGTATGGCCATGTTAAATCCACATTTTTACAAACCATGAAAAACTTTATAAATCATTAACAACTGCTTATTATGCATTAATTAAGGGTGACAAAGAGAAAAATGACCCTTTTCTTGTCAACTAGTGAGCTAATTCTGTTGACCTATATATTTCATTTTTGTTATATTAAACATTTCAGACTAAGTTACTGCCTTGTAAGCACAATAGGCATTTGTTAACCTATTTTTTAGGATATAATATTAGTGGTAGATGCTTATAATGCAGTGGTAAAGTGCAATATCATATCCTAAAAATTAGGTTTACAAATGTGTATTGTGCTCACAAGGTAGTAACTTTGTCTGAAATGTTTAATATATATATAGATATCATATATATATATGTATAGGATTTGGCTCACTGGCAAGAAACTGGTCAGTTTTCTCTCTGTCACCCTTATTTAATGCATAATAAGCACTTATTAATGATTTGTAAAGTGTTTATAGCGGAATTAAAAATGTATCTATAAACTATATATTAGCCATCTATAAGGGGAGCCTTATTGTAAAGTGGTACTGAAAAAAGTCAACAATTTTTAAGAAAAGCTCAAGATCCAACCTCTTATAGTTTATTTTTCATACTAAAGACTACTAGAGGCTTTTTTCTCATACTAGAGACTAAAAAGTAAAAGAAGTCTTTTAAAACAAGGTCTTACGTCTGAATGGGTTAATCGTTTCTTCTTGTTGCGTTAACATTTTGCGAAGATGTCACAGTAAACAGCGTCAGTCGTAACCACATTAAACACAGCTCAGTTGTAAATTTAACTAGACTATAAAGCAAAAACATAACGTAACTGCACTGTGTTCTGTTAACTGCAAAACGAGATTTTAAGCAGCTGAATGAGTGTTTTTTAATCTCTATAAGTCTGGTCATTAATAATTAACAGTTTGAGGGTCTAAATATAGTTAATGTACAAGCTATACGTAGTTCCTTTTGTCTTAGATGAGTATCTGACAAAAGGAACAAAATATAGCTCGTACATAAATGACATTTGGCCTGTTTGTGTGTTTTGAAGGCAATGCATCACAAACTAATAAACTGAAGAATTAGTGCTCATGTTCACATTAATGGAAGCTAACTGAGTTAGTCAGGAGAAAGAACCCACCTTTTAACTCTGCTGAATCCTTTATGGCTTTGTGTGTTTTTCTAACACAAATACTGTTTTTAGGAACTTGGTTTAAAGTTTTAATCAGCTCCTCCTTTTTGTTCTTTTCTCTTTCCTCAAAGCTGAAAGGTTTCTGGGTGGAGAGTAAGAGCAGCTTTCTCTGCTCACAGCCATGTTTTCTCTCCTTCTCCCTCAGCTCCATCATCTCGTGGTAGATGGGCTGGATGACACGAACCGGAACAGGGACGGCGCAGAACTTCTTCTTGCACTCGGCCTCGTCCTCCTCCTCTTTGCTCTGCTGGGTCGTTTTAGACGAAGCAAATCGTTCACAGGGCTGAGCTGTGGAAGAGCGGTTCTTCTGGGGGGTTGAAGCTACAGCACACAGTTTAGGCTTCAATTTATTGGAAGTCCTGTTGTCTGAAGTCAGAGCAGATCCACAAGTGGAGCTCTTCATTCCCACAAATCTGAAAAAACAGAACAGTAATTGTACTTTGCATAGATTTATTCTAACTGGAACAAAGCACAACTGTCATTTTGAAAAGAACATACCTATGGTTCACTTCTTTCTCATCTTCTGGCCTTCCATCTACATTCGTTGATAAAAGAGAGTTCTGATAAATCCTTTTTTCTAGCTCCTCTATCTGTCTCTTTTTTGTTTCCTGCAGCTGCCGTCCGAGGGCCTTCCTCATAGCCTTGAGGTGAAGCTGGAGAATTATCTCTGTTTGGAGTCTATCTTCCTGCAAGGTCTCAAACGTTGACATTTTTCTTATCTCTGTGATTTTAAACCGTAAAAAAAAAGTAGGACAAAGTCAAATTAATCCTAAAAGTTTGCTGTTTTATATACAATATAGTAGTGGAAACATTTGTACTTGATCAAATAAAAACACTCCACTTAAAGTGGCAAGTCTTACCTAAACTAATTAAATTACTACCAATTTAGGACTTACAGTAAGCACAGTTCTGTGCAAAAATCTTAGGTTAGCCCTCATTTCTTTATATTTTACTCCAAGAAATGAGACTTTTTTTTTACCATCCTTTAAAGTTATCTTGATCAACATGCTTTTAGAAGTTCCTGAAGATTTATTTTAAGGTTTTCTTTGCAGTTGCTTTTCGACTCATTGTCACCTTGATACCTATATTTTTTCACAGGAATGTTTGTTTGCTTTTTTCTAGGCCACTTAACGCTGACCTATGAATCATTCAGACGTAAACAGGGTTGTTTCTAAACAGAATGGACAACTTTGCAAGGAACACCTTAATTTTGTAATTACGTATAGCAACCTGTCACAAACACACTATTTGTTCCTACTTCAGCAGTTAAATTTATGAACAATCCCAAATATAGAATTGTTTGTTGATCCACTGAAGGATGATGGCTCTGGTAGGCTCTGTGTTAGATTTATCTTAGCTATATATTTCTTCTTAAAGAAAGAGTTTTAGATGTTTTTCCTCTGCTGTAAATAGTTTTGTTGGACTGACACTCCTTCCTTCTACCATACGTGTCCACCTTCCCTACTGTTTAAGCATGCCCTGCTCAATATGGTGGTCAAATACAAAGGTACAAATCTGTGGGGAGGAAAATGCAGCCAAAGACAAAAGAAATACTTTAAGACTAAAAATGTCTGTACAACAAATTATAAAGACTAACTGACCACTAGAAAATTGTAGAAAAATAAAATTTAGCTAACTTACTCAGTAAGTCTGAGGATGACTACGAAGCTCCTCTTTCACTGAGCATGTCACCGGTTACTATGGCAACCACGCTCTCAACAATTGGTTCTACGTCAGTACGTCAGCGAAGCTAAGTTTCTCAATTTTTATTTACAATAAAACACACTTCTCTTACCATTTTATTTTTACACTTATAGGCAGATATTAATAAGCATTTAACTTGGGAAAATTCAACTTAGAAAAAAAGCTGCAAACCTGGGAACAGACGAGCTTAAAGGTCGTTTTACGGAGTTGAAGAGTCTTCAAAACTCTTGTGGATGTATCACTGCCTACTTATTGAATTTTTTTTAATTTTTTTTTCGATGTAAAGAAGTTTGAACGCGCTCAAAACGAAGCAAATGCGTATTTTGGTAGCATTAGCGCTGCTCGTGGACAACAGCAGCAGCAACATCCGGACGTGGGAAACGTCAGCTGTGATTGGTCGATAAACCGGAAGTTGTTCCTCCGAAGCTCTCGCGAATGTCAACACAACATGGCTGACACACAAAAGGCGCACAGCTGCTCTTACTAGGACAAGTTCAAGGGGAACTATCTGATTAAGCGTTGTGTGACAGCGTTTAGACTCCGAAGCTGGATTGCTTTGTTCTGTTTGAAGCGATTCATGTGAAAAGACTGGAGACAGAGTCATGCACAAGCTCACAAAGGCGCCACTGTTCCTGAACGGACTTGGGCGCTGTTTTATGGCAGAAAAACCATTAACTGCTGTAAATATCAGAAGAGGATTTGCGCTTACGGAGCACAAGAGGAATGCAGACAGGAATGAGGTTTATGATGTGATTATATCCGGTGGAGGCATGGTTGGATCTGCTATGGCATGTTCTTTAGGTGAGTATGACTTACAATAATTTGGCCAAATAGCATTTAAACGTGTGAAAAAGCAGTATTAGTACTCTTGTTGTGCTCTGTAGAAAGTCAAAAGGGTTATCACTCCCTAAAATCTAATAAAAGAACACTATGATGTCTGTACCATTAATACTACACATCGTATTGTTTCTTCTACCCAGTCATTTTGATAATCTGTTTCTCACAGGAATGGATCCCAACTTGGCAGGAAAGAAGATTTTGCTACTTGAAGCTGGCCACAAGAAAGCAATGGACAAGGCACCTGACGCCTACAGCACTAGAGTCAGCTCCATCAGTCCAGGCTCTGCCACTCTCCTCAGCGGTACAGTACACAGTCTGACACAAAGTGGCAGTTTCATCTAATGGTTTATTTAAAAAAAAGTTGTCCTCGAGACAATGCTTGATAGGTTTGTAGTTTTGAATGGCCTCACATAAGTCAAAGCATTTGCGACCTCATTGCTCCTTATGTGACAGACTTCCTGGGTTTTGGGCAGACTATTGGGTATCTTGGCCGTAGTTAAAGCCTGGGAAAATGAGTATTGGAGATAGTTTGTTAGAGGCCTTAATGGTTTCCTAAACAATGTTTCCTTCTTTTTATTTTTAATATGTGCATTTTTATGCATAATGTTATCAAACTTTCATTGAAGGATGCACACATATATCCGCTTGAATTCTAATTTATATCTACAGTTCAGTTATCCCAATGCACAAGGATAAGGTTTAATCTTCTTCTTTTGGCTTTTGCCTCTTCAGGGGTCACCACAGTGAGGCATCCTCCTCCATCTCACTCTGTCCTCTGTGTCCTCTGTCCTCATTCCCAACTACATCCATGTCCTCTGTAACTACATGCATACATCTTATCTTGGTCTTTTTCCTGGCAGCTACATTTCTAACATCCTTCTACCAATATACCCACTGTCCCTCCTCTGGACATGTCCATACCATCTCAGAAAATGGGCACCAGCACACCTTCTCAGTCCTCAGGCATTTTCTCACCCTCAAATATGCCATTGAATTTTTGAGTCAAAAACCTCAATGCCATCTCGCCAAGACATTTCCAAACCTCCACTGGTACTGTATGTCATCAGGTCTCACTGCCTTTCCCTTCTTCATTCTTTTCAGAGCTTTCCGAACTTCACCCTCACTAAACTTTCCTACTTTATGGTCCACTGTTTCTATAACCTCTACTCTTCTTTCTCTTTCAATCTCTTCATTCATTAGCCCCTCAAAGTACTCCTTCCATCTTCCCATCACACTCTCCTCACTTGTTAGAACATTACTATTCCTATCATTAACAAGCCTAACCTGCTGCACATCCTTTCCAGCCTGATCCATCTGTCTCGCCAGTCGGTACAAGTCCTTCTCGCCCTCTTTAGTGTCCAGTCTCCCGTAAAGCTCATCATACACCTTCTGCTTTGCCTTAGCCACCTCCCTCTTTGCTCTACATTGCATCTCCTTATATTCCTGTCTCCTCTCTTCAGTCCTCTCACTGTCATATTTCTTCTTGGCCATCATCTTTCTTTGAATATCTTCCTGCACTTCATCATTCCACCACCAGGTTTCCTTATCATCCATTCTCTGTCCAGATGACACACCAAGTACCTTCCTACCTGTCTCTCTAATTACTGTTGCTGTTGTAGTCCAGTCATCTGGAAGCTCTTTCTTACCATCCGGAGCCTTTAACAGCTCCTCTCTGAATTTCTCACAACATTCTTCTTTCCTCAGCTTCCACCATTTGGTCTTTTTCTCTTCTTGACAACAACAGTCATACACACAACCATCCAATGCTGTCTGACCATGCTCTCCCCTACCACAACCTTACAGTCTCCAATCTCCCTCAGGTTTCCTATTCAACACAGAATGTAGTCTACCTGCATACTCCTTCCTCCACTCTTATAGGTCACTATGTTCCTCCCTCTTTTGGAAATAGATGTTGACTACAGCCATTTCCATTTTCTTGGCAAAATCCACCACCATCTGTCCTTCCTGGTTTCTTTCCTTGACTCCAAACCTATCCATCACTTCCTCATTCCCTCTGTTTTCTTCACCAACATGTCCATTCATGTCTGCTCCGATCACCACTCTCTCATCCCTGGGAATACTCTCACTTCATCCAGATCTTTCCAAAATGTATCTTTCTCCTCCACATCACATCCAACCTGTGGAGCATAACCACTGACAACATTTAGCATCAGACCATCTACTTCTACCTTCAGACACATCACCCTATCTGACACTCTTCACAACTACTACATTTTTTGCCAACTCCTCCTTCAGGTCCACCCTTACTCTGTTTCTCTATTTCTCTTTCTATCCACACCATGGTAAAACATTTCAAACCCTGCTCCAACACTGCAAGCCTTGCTGCCCTTCCACTTGGTCTCTTGGACATATAAAATATCTACCTTCCTTCTCTGCATTATGTCAGCCAGCTCTTCCTTTGCCTGTCATTGTCCCCACATTTAGAGCTGCCAAACTCAGTCCTATGTTCTTGAGTGTTCTCTTCTCCCTCTGTCTCCTGACACGTTTATATCATGAAGAGCCAAAGCAAACTTCCAGTTAGGCTACCGTACCTAAACTTACAACCTCGCTAATAAGTTTCCAAACAAGTTCATGTTCCTCTTCAGGCTGATGTGTGAGCTTTAAATTAATTCAAGTTTGATCTTTAGTTCATTAGGTTGCTTTTTAATACTATTCTTTTTTTACATCTTTTTGTCTGAATTCATATTCATATTATTGCTGAGTGATTTGCTAAGCACACATAATTTTGCAGGTATTGGAGCTTGGGAGCACATCACAAAGATGAGATGCAAACCCTATACAAGAATGCAAGTAAGGTGACCTTCTCGTTTGTACAGGTTGTTTTAGTCTGTGTTTGGAGGATTAGCAAAGTGTCTAGCATTTTCCAGCATTTTCAAAGGTTTAGAAAAATACCACTTTAAGACAGAAATAATGCAGTAATGCCAAAAATTTCCCCAAAATTCCTCTGTTACACAACTTGAAATGTGACTAACGAGTCCTCCAGACTTTCAGATTTACTGGCGCATTATATGTATTTCTGTCATCCGTCAGTTGAGGCGCCCTGCAATTAGTGGAAAGAAAAATCTGTGACACTCAGCTTCTGCTCAGTCATTCAGATTAATCCGCAAGCAACACAATGCACTATCATATAATCATGCATATGATACAATATGTAATTGTTAGCATTAAAATAGCAAAAGGTGGTTTCGTGTAACATGCATTTTGTTCATTCCTATGCTCCATTCATGTCTGTTCAGTAGCTTTGCAGAACCTCTGGTACACTAAGTACCAACTGTACTTGAGGTATATTTATAAAAGGCCATGGCCCTGGCACATTCAAAGTACAGGATGCTTCTCTGACTGTGCAAGTTTTATTTATTAAAGCCATGTTTTCTATGAGGAGTAAATCATTCTGATGTTTCAAATTGGTACCTCCGCTTCCCATCTTCTAATTACGAAGACTCATGTGAACAACGGGGAGAAGATGAAAGATTAGGAGAGCGGTTGTTTGCAGCAGAGTGAACCCACTTTACGGCTGTGGGCGCAGGCTTGGTCCCTCTTGTAAGATGTGGTCGGTGTGTACCAAACACTTGACCGCAGGGTTTCTCTTTGGGCGCAATATGTCATCATGCAGTGCTTTACAGTGATTATGGTAGTGTACCTCTCCCATTATACCTTCACTCTTCTGCCACTGTTTTGGCTTGTTTGGCCACCAAATTTCATGCATATACATCTCAGTCATAGAGCTGGAAAGTGTGAGCTGCCCATCAGCTCTAAATGCTACGTTTCTGTGCCATAAAGTATTTTTCTTCGTTAACTAGGCATCAAAAGGAGGCAAGTAGTGTTTTTCACACATTCAGGGGATATTGTTTAAATGTTGCATAAAAAGCAATAACTTATTCGGACCCAAAAAGGGCATCATTTCACCAGCATTTAACAAAACCAAAACAATTTTTGGGCTGGTCTCAGTAAATCTTTCTTCCCAACCACTTATCACAGTTTGCAAACCAGCTACCATTAGTGGTTTTACTCTGGGGTATAGCCCCCTACTTTATGGCAAGTTGGGAAAAAAGTAGTGTGGCAGCATATTACTGCAGAATGATGGGTTTTGTCACCATAGTTACAGCCCAGGAGCGGATTAACCTTGTCCAAACACTTTTCATGTTCGACTCCAACAAGTTTGGTTTTTACTATATCTCAATTATGCCACTTTTAGTTGCCAATAAATATCGACTTCCTCTGTCGTCTTCACAAACGCGTCACTTTTTTTTAATTTGCGTTTCCAAGTAAATGCTTGACAAAAAGGATCCACATCACAAAATATAATTCAGATCCTTGACCTCACAGGGTTTAGGGTGAATTCGGCTGTCAGTCAAGCTGGGCGCTGACCCTCATCGCTCTGTGTGTAACTTTGATGTGTTCAGCTCAGTGAAATGCCGCCTCTCTGCCCAGCTCTATATAGGGAAAAGGAATTTATTTAAGCACAGACTTGTAAACCGTAGGCATAATGAGTCTCTCATTTAGGTTTGGGATGCCTGCTCGGATGCCCTGATCACATTCGATAAGGAGGACCTGCTTGACGAGATGGCGTACATTGTGGAGAATGACATCGTTGTGGCGGCCATCACCAAACAGATGGACACTTTGTCCGGTAAGTACAGGATGTATGAATAAAACATGTTCCATCCACACAGTAGCGTTATTTATTTCCCATCTGCCTAATAAGCTCCGAGTCTAATGTCACCACATATATTCCTTCCTGTCCTCAAGTTGTGTTTATTTGTGTTGCTTCCTCATGATTGTTTTTAAAGACAAGCTCTTGGATCCATCCATATTTTTCCTAAAATTTTGGGCACTGCAGCACCTTGGCACCCACTGAGGGCACGTGGAGTGGTCCAGTGACCTATTTAAAGCTGCCATGTGCTCCGGAGCTTTGCCACCTCCCAACACACAAAGACACTGACAGTGTAAAGTGTTGTGCTCCTGCTGACATCTGACCAGCTTTTCTGAGGTTCACAAATAAAACTCAGCTCTGCTGTGTGCATGACACTTTGACAGGCATATTTATAAACAGGTTTTTTTTTGTTTGTTTTTTTACATTTTGCGCCAAACGGGACATGCGGTTCCTGCACGTTTTTTGCCTCATGTGCCTTCCCATGTGCCCCGCTCCTCTCTCTGTTCTCATTTTTAGCCATCGTCTTGTTATGCAGAAGCAGTACATGCAGTACATGAAAAGTGCGGTCTCCGCCAGCTGTTTTGAATGTAACCCTGCACTCCAGTCACAGAAAAAAAATCCATATTGGACATCCGCACCGCAAGAACCTGTAGCTGCTCTGCACATCTCCAAGTCAGCACGAGCCAGATCAGAATCCTTCCATGTGTGGGAGTCCAGCTGCTGATAATTTAGGAGCTTTTAGTGTAAAATCTAAGAAACCGGAAGCATTGCTACAGAGCAGAGTGAAATGGTAGATAAACCCTATTAGTCGGTGTAATGCGGCAGGCCGAGACCATTAAGAAGATTGGCAAATGTGAAGTTTGGTAGCAAGCACGTGCCTGCGAGGGAAACCAGTGGTGTTTTATGAGGTGGTTTATAGATCTTTCCCACTTTGGCTGCAGGCTAGCCATCCTTTCCTTCCATTTTTTTTTCTGTGAAATAAAATTAGCAAAACACTGATTTAGTAAGATGATTCATTCATACGGCCAAATTTATCCTTTTGAAATAAAAATAAAAAAAAGTCACATCTTGAATTTTATTTTTAAAGAGCACAGTTTCCTTTTTGCCCCTTTTCACTGTAGTTAAATACCATACCATTTTATTTATAGCGCACTTAAAACGGCGACAAGGCCAACCAAAGTGCTGTACAGACAAAAAACAGGCAACACACAAAGCAATATACAAAATGAGGTAAATCAGAATATAGACATAAAAACGATGCAGATAATGATGACTAACCAGTGTGGAGCGTACAGGTTCAAACACAGATCATCCAGTGTTGAATGCTACTGAATAGTAGTGGGGTTTTAAATGGGACTTGAAAACCAAGAGGGAGGGGGCCTGTCTGACAAGCAGAGGTAACTCGTTCCAAAGTCTTGGTCCTGCTACAGAGAAGGCCCTGTCACCTCTGTGCTTAAGACGAGTTCCTGGAACTGTGAGGAGCAACTGGTCCGCTGACCTCATGGAACATGGTGGGACATACGGCTGTAGCAGATCAGAGAGATGGGGGGGTGACACTATTCAGCGATTTGTAGACATACAGTAGTATTTTGAACTGGAATGCTTTTTTGTTTCTATTGTCAGATGACGTGCAAGTGAAATACAAATCTAGGGTTGTGAAGTATACATGGCCCCTGCTCCACCACACAGCAGACTCCATCCCATGGGTGCAGGTCACTTTGGCAAATGGAGAGACTCATCAAACAAAGCTTCTGGTAAATTAAATTCCCCTCATAAAAGCTGTGCTTTTCCCTTTTGTCTCTCTTTCCCTTCATTTCTTTTTTTTTTTTTTTTTACTTTTTATTGGTTTTGCAGATCGGTGCTGATGGGCCCAACTCCATGGTGAGGCAAGAATTGGGAATTCCCACAGTCAAGTGGAATTACGATCAGTCTGCTGTAGTTGCGGTGCTGCACCTGTCAGAGGTGAGCACTATATGGTAACTGACAGACCTAAATACTCAATATGATGCAAAAAAAAAGTAATATATTGATTATGTGTTGCAGCCTACAGAGAACAATGTTGCGTGGCAAAGATTCCTCCCCACAGGACCTATTGCTATGTTACCGGTGATGCATTTATATATATATTTGTTGCAGAAGCGCTTTTATTCTTGCACAGAATCCACCTATAATTTTTATTTTACCCCTCTCTTTTCCCTGCAGCTGTCGGACACAAAGAGCTCTCTGGTGTGGTCAACAACCCCTCAGCTTGCAGAGGAGCTGCTTGAGCTGGACGAGGAGAGCTTTGTGGACGCCATCAACTCTGCCTTTGTGAGTCTGGCTGCGACCTTCAAAGCGCCGGTGTTGCGTTTAGAGTCTGTCAGCAAGGTGTTGCCAGTTTTCTGGAACCGTGTGCAGGGATTCTCCAAACACCTACGTGTTGAGCTGTTTAGAGTGACTCACCTAAACAACTCAGTCATTGTTTAGCCCAGTCTATATGCAATAATAATATTTCCTTGCAGGAATGATGCACCTATCTATTTTTCATGTTTGGAGAAGCTCCGTTTTCCCAAGCTGGCTATTTTTACTCGGCCTGCTGATGGATGGGGTCACCACGGTTGAGTCACGTTTGGTTTCAGGCCTGGTTTGCTAATTAAACCTGTGGTCTCCCAGTGTCGACCATTACTGCGCGGAATGTTTTTCAAACAGAGCTAATTCGACTGCGTAGCCTGGCCAGCATCTTCTTTTAATTAGCCCAGCTCCCGAAGTCCCTGCCAAACCAGTTAGTTAGGAAGGAAAGTAGGGGGGTGGGGGAGCACTTTTGCTGGCCTGGAGTTCAGCTTTGCTCCTGTGTCAGCTAAATTCTCCGTCCACAAAAAAGGGGTAATGTCTGTTTTCTCTCTCTTCTGAACGTTTTTCTCTTTTATTGGAACATGTGCGCTCATGGACAGTGGAGTAATGAGAACCACTCGGATCTAATAGAGACAGCTGGCTCTCTGTTCCGCGGTGCCCTGTCGGCCATCATGCCATCAGCAGGTTCACCTCGACAGCTTCCACCGAGCGTGGCGGGGATCGGGCCGAAGAGCAGGGTCATGTTCCCACTGGGCATGGGTCACGCATCAGAGTACATCAGACACAGGGTGGCACTCATTGGGTAAGATGATGATGCTCAAAGTAATAAACCTCACACTTTAAGAAGCTCACCTTTTAAGCTGAAGTGTCAGGTGTATGGAAAAGTCACGCTCAAAAGGCATGAAGAGCATCCAGTACACTGAAAGTGTTCGGATTGTGGACAGTGTGTTGTGTTTTCAGAGATGCAGCTCATCGTGTCCATCCTTTGGCGGGTCAGGGAGCCAACCTGGGGTTTGGGGATGTGACTTGCCTCACACAGATCTTAAGCCAGGCAGCTTTTAATGGAAAGGACCTGGGTGAGTGAGAAGAAAAAGAACATCCTGATGCATGCTCAATAATCCAGGTAGAAAAATCCAAAAAAAGTTCAATCTGGTCCTCTGGACATTCAAAAAAACCCAAAACGAAGCAAGAAAATGTAGAAACGTTTCGTTTTTCCTCAGTCTGAGGTGCTGTATTCAGCTATTACATCGGGGAAACTAAACAGGCACTGGCCAAAAGGATGGCCCAGCACAGAAGATCAACATCATCAGGCCAGGACTCTGCGGTCTACACTCATCTCCAGGCCAGCGGTCACTCTTTCAGGGATGAAGATGTTCACATCCTGGACAGAGAGGAACGATGGTTTGAGAGAGGAGTAAAGGAGGCCATCTTTGTGAAAAGAAACCGTCCATCATTAAACAGGGGTGGAGGCCTCCGGGTTCAACTGTCCCCCTCTTACAATGCTGTGATTGCTAGTATCACTCAGCCCTCTGTGAACAGTAAACAGCCATCAGTGTGCTAATGATCCATTGTTAGGCTGATGGTCCTTCTTGAGCATGTGATCAGCTGGTTTTGGTTGTCAGCAGCAAAACTGGTTGATCCACTCTGGGACGGTGCTATTTAAGAGACTGAGCTGAATACAGCACCTCAGACTGAGGAAGTCTCTCGGATGAGAGACGAAACGTTTCTATATTTTTTTGCTTTGTTTTGTTTTTTTTGAATGTCCAGAGGACCAGATTGAACTTTTTTGGAAGAAAAAGAACCATCACTCAATGGTTTCCTTTAGACTTTTTAATTTTTTTCTACTGCCACAGCTTTAACACTTTGTTGAGCTAACCTTTAGAAAGCAGCAAGTTTGTATACTGTGTTTGTTTTTGAGGAGATCCTTATGTCCGTTATTTTTTAACCTGTTTGTGCAGGAGCGTTGCAGCATTTGTTAGAGTACGAGACCGAACGTCAGCGACACAATCTGCCCATGATGGCTGCAGTCGACCTCATGAAGCGGCTTTATTCCACCGACGCGGCTCCTGTGGTTCTCCTACGCACCTTTGGGCTGCAGGCCACCAACGTGCTCCCAGCTCTAAAAGTAAGCCTCAGCTCTGCTACATCGCAGCCTGGACCTCGCTCGGATCAAATCAACCCACCTGTCAAACCTAAGCTCCGCCCACACCACGACCCCACCCTCCGCCCTCTTTTCTGATTACACGGAGCTTTACTGTGGCAGTGTCTATAATTTTAAGAGTTTGAACCTACTACTATGGTATCTAAGTTTAGCCCCAAATTTCGTGTTACCAAAAGTGTGTGGGTGGGGTGCCTGCTGGCCCTGGGGCAGCGAACAGTGGTGTTGGCTTGTGTTTTCACACTCCTTTTATTACCGACCACTCATGTGAAATGGTTTTATTTCCTACTAAGTGATTCAGACCAACATAACTGTAACTGGTCGCAAAGGCGTTTCACTATCGAGTTTAAAGTGACATTTTTCCATATTAAATGCCGAGTTCAGAAGTTTACGGGTCCCATTTAGGGCTCGAAGTGCCACTCACTCATAAGCTCAAAAGCATGACTCGAAAGTTGCACGGTCTTCAAATTCCTGTTTCTTCTCTCCCTCTTTTCAGGAGCACATCATGGCGTATGCGAGCAAGTGATCAGCCTGCTGAGATCTGCGTTTGTTGGTGGATCAATAACTCGAAGCTTTAAACGCGGTAAAGGCCGCCAGTGTAAAGAAATATAAATTAAAAAAAATCTTGATATATTTTACTCTATAACTTCATCATTTATGTTTTTGTGTCACAACTGCATGTTTGAATCAAACAGGAGAGGTAAAACAGAAAGCACATTTTTCACATTTTATTAAAACTTACATGTTTAGTATACACTTATGACAAGATTTATTTAAAAAAAAATTTTTACAAATGGTCAGATTATTGACACTAATGGACAAAGATATTTCTCAGCAAAAGTGTGCCGTAAAGTTTTCATAAAAAGCTGTTCCTGCCAAATAATTTCACTAAGTTTACATCGTGTATATACAGCAGTAGTAACTGAATACGTTGCATAATGAGAAGACAGCATACCATAGGCAGTGTTTAAAAGGTACTATTGGATAATAATAAAAATACTCTAAGTAAACTTTCAGTTTTTTAAATATTTGTACAATTCACAAGAAAGACTTAAAGTAAAGAAGGAATATTTTTCAGAAGTATTTGTACAGAATTTGTGTTTATTTTTCATCCAATGCCTGTAGTTGGGTGCACCATCTGCCGTTAGTGATAATTTAAAATACAGTTCAGGCCCCTGCTTTATAACGTTTCCAATCTAAAAATAAAATAACTGACTGCATCTTAAAACACAACACTCTCTATAAGAGGCTTCATTTGCCCCCCTGAATCATGGCAAACCCAACACTTAATGAAGAATATGTACAACTCTATAGAAGAAACCAAAGCCACTGTTCCTGTCTCCAGCTACAATATCTGCAGTTTAAAGTGTTTTGTGCAAAGTTGAAGGGGGAGGAAAAAAAAAAAAAGATGCTGCATGGTAGTCAACTGCTCTGTTTCCAATGATGTCTTACTTGTTTAATGCTTAGAGCAAATTAACAAGGGTCCTGTAAAAAAAAAAAAAGTTACTGCCAGAATAAAGAGAGAATGAATTTTACAAGCATCTAGAAAGACAATTGTGGTTGCGACTCCAGCAACTAGTGTCTAAATGTATTCCACTACGCCCCGCAGCGCGCACCAGGACCACAGTAAGCACCAAAACACCATGACTCCCTGCCTCCAAAATACCCTCTACACACTCTGCAGGTTGGGTTTTTCAGATCCGCCACCCATAATAAAAAATGTAAACGTTTCATAAAAAGTAAAATCGGCTCACCAACTTTGAGCTCAAAATACAGTAGAAAAAAAACGGCCTTATAAAAATATAGTGATTTCTTTCTCTTTTTTTTTTTATAAGAGTTCTTGGGAGTGTGCAGGGTGCTGAGGAGATTTGAGGAGAAACGAGGGGCGTGGTGGGTGAGGAATCGAGATGGGAGTGGATTGACTGAGGGGGGGGGGAACGGAGGGAAGGAGGCCCCACAGTGACGGACTGTCCCTCTCAGTGCCAGCTGCAACGACTTCCAGCTGTTCTTAGTGGATGTTGAAGTTTCTGAAGAAGTCGAAGGTTGCGCCGAGGGCCCAGCTCGTCTCCACGTTGTTCACCTTCTTGGCCAGCTGTTGAATAGAATAAGAGGAGGTTCCCCGTCAGAACCGCACAGAAACGTGTTCTTACAGTTCGAGTCGTGCAAGCGTCTCTGTTTGTGAGTCTTACTTGCAGCACGGTGTTCTCCTTGAAGCCAAAGCCCTCTTTTAGCAGGCAAGTGATGTATGTCATGTCCATGCAGAGGAAGGGGCTGATGGCACCGTATTTGGTCATTTTGTTGCATACTGAAAACAGAAAGATATCCAATTATAACCATGAGAACAATTTTCTTGACCAAAACTTTAAATTTGATAATTAAAAAAAAAAAAACTTTTCTAACTACTACATATAAGACGCCCTTTCTGTTTTGCTCGGCCGAGATAACCACTGAGGTGTGAGGAGTAGCCTACGGCTGGGGGTCAGCGCAGGGCTGCAGGTGGGTGGAACATGTGTTTGTGTTTGCGTGTCAGCGTGTTTGAGCTCCCAGGTGGTGTGTGGCTGTCAGGTGCCCTCCTGCCTGGGGCCTGCAGACACCTTCAGCTCTGCCGCCAGCCAAGCTTTGAGCTGTTCCTGTACACCGTGTGACGATGTTCTCACAACACCAACAGCCCTTACATAACACGCCAACTCATTCCTACATGCTGTAAACAAGGTTCTACGGCGCACCTATCAGAACCAAACCCCAACTAAGCTCATTTTGACCAGAGGACATCAAATACTTAACAAGTCACCCCTCACCTTCTTTGGCTTTCTTCTTAAAGTCCCTGACTTCGACCGCACCACCTCGGCTGCCTTGTGTGCAGGAAACAAGCGTGCAATTAGATTTATGCAAGATCTCAATTGGAAGGTGGCTCAATGGTTTTTGTCTACTCACTGATGAGGCCGGTATCCACGGCTCGGTCGTAGTAATGGGAGAAAGCATAGAAGACGCTGCTGCCCTTCACTTCGTACGGCTGGTGGAATAAACCTTTGATGACCCTCTGGACCTCGTAGTAGCACAATTTGTACCCTGCGTATCCTGAGAAGAGAGAAGAGTTAGCTTGAAGAATGGTTTCACTTGACACAGCTGCAACAATGGATGGAACGCAACCCGATCAGTCTGAGGTCTGCAGGCGGTTTTGGAGCTTATAAACAAGGGAAGCCCCAGAAGGACAAGTTTCACACGGCCCCAAGGGTGCGGGCGGTTCAATTATGCCGGCAAAACCATGCGCTGACGAGCGGCAGTTATAGCGGCCCTGTTGTGCTGCCTATTTTTCACCACATAATTGTGAGCGGGGCCAGATCAAGCTGCTCTTTACACGCCAAAAAAATAACATGTCAGGGACAGCATCCTTTGGCTACTCGGCTGCGGTATGGGAGGGACTGCCTGATTTGTGAAGCGAACTGACGGGTCTTCTTTTTTCTGCTAAATACAAGCTTGATGACAGCGTAAGTGTCCAAGTGGGAGCGCAGAGAAATGGAGGATGACAAAACATGTGTTTGGTGCCAAGATTAAGGAGACTCCAGCTGATATGTGCTCCATTGTGTTCCTGAGCTGAGAGAGGAATGTGTGAATTGTTGGGCGCAAGACACCAGGATAGCATTCAAAACCGCACCGAGCTTTTATCTTACCGCCTGGAATCCCGCTAACTTTATAGGTGCTTCCTCCAAAAGTCACTTCTTCTCTGAATTTTTTCGGGAGGCAGGAACTTGTGAAGATTTTCCAATCCAGGCCTGGGAAAAGAGAAAGGAGAGAGCGTTGACCGCACGCTGAACTCTTTTCTAAGCAAGTTGTGAACAAGGACAGGAGCTTTACCATCAGCTCCCAGAGCTCCAAGGGTAGCCAGGCGGGCTGCGACGATGCCATTTCCAAGGTAGCTATTAAATGATGACAAAACACGTTTTTTACTCTCAAATCTCACAACACACACCAGCATGTCTGTTTAGGTATTTACCTGTGTGTGTAGAGTTCGTATGTGTTGTTGAACAGGTTGAATCTGGCAGTGTAAGAGGAGGGAGCGGTATCGATGGTTTTCTGTTGGATTAACAACACATTCTTTAAATATATGTTCAATAGCACTGGACGGAAATGTATTTTATTGCAACATGAAGCGCTTAATTCACCTTTGATTTTGGAAGGAATGTGATCTGTGTAGATCCTCCGCCCAAATCCAAAATCCCCACAGTTCTTCTTGTGTTGGAGTACAAATGGCCTGTGGAAAGCAAGCAGAAGGTAAAATACTTCCCAAATTTAGCAGCAGATGGCTTAATTTAAAAATCCCTGCTATCAAAACGATGCGTTTTAGAGATCTAAGTCTCTAGAAGAGAGAATAAATGAGGTAGCGCTCTGGCTTTGCAGTCTGTTTGGAGGCTAGTGATGGACGTTTATTGCCAGAAATGAGACAGGAGTCTTTCACTGCAGGGTTTCTGTGTACACAGGAGCCTCCTAACCACTAACACCACCATAGCAAAACACATGCAGGGCCTTACCTGTGAGGAAGTTCACCGTGACCCAGGCGAGGACTCCTAAAACCACACAGATTCACAAAAATGTCTGCATTAGTCCGTTCCCCACCCTGAAGGACAGCTTGTACTAACATACAACACTAGTAAAGAGAATTACTACAACGCTATAGAAGCTAACTTAAGTGAAAATTAAAGAAAAAGATTTCTAACCTTCGTTTGCTCCATTCATGATGGAAACACAGTTTTCTGGCACAAAGAAAGGCGATTCTTCAAACGCCTCTCGTACCTGTTGAATAGATTCATCCGTTTTTCAGTAAAAAAAAAATAAAAATACCCACTGAATATGAATTATACATTAAGAGTACATGCTCATACTTTTTTGATTGCGTTCGCACCTACTGCATTTTTTTTTGGTGGTGGGGGAAAATAAAAAATAAAAACACTTTTCCTAAAAGTTTGAGCTTTTTTAATGTGAACTTGATGCCTTTGGTTGTTTCTGAGTGACAGATAACTAAACCACAAACATGGCTGGAACAGCAGCCCATATAATACTTAAAATACCAAATATGGTTGCTCCGCACAACCCAACAACAGCTGTTCTTCGCTACATGATAGCCACCAAATGGGCAGACTTGCTGCCTTTTCGTTTAGTGACACTTGTAAGCACTTAGTGGTTTTCTCATCCCGATCCCTGGTGGAACGGCTGCTGCTCGAGCCAAACTGTCTGAGGGCAGAGCGGGAAAACGTGCCTCACCTCGTCCAACAGGGCATTGGCCTTTTCTATGGGCAGCAGACGCAGACCCGCTGTGGCCTTCAGGACAACCGGTGTCCTTTTCCACTCCTCCTCTGGCACAGTCTTCTTGGCAATCTTCAGCAACTGGCGGATGGTGTTCCCACCCTGCAGGACACGACAGAATGCTTCATATTCTGACCAGAGATAAACTGAAATATGTGCATGACGGGAGAGGAATCCTTGCATCACATGAACCCAACCCAAAGAAAATCCAAGTGGTTTCGTGGTGAGTAACTCCCTGCTACCTGAAAATGAGTGATGGTGTGGTTACATACCTCCTCGGGGTTGTCCTTGTATTCAGACAGTCCAGGTTTCACAGCGTGGAACATTTCATTGTCCAGAACTGGCAGCTCAACTAAAAAATAAAAATAAAAAAAAAAGGAGTCAGGGAACAGATTAAACCTTAAAAAAAAAAAAAAAAAAGCTTGGGTTTATTGTTCTATATTGTTTTTTTTATGAGGCAATTCTTTTGCACTTCACCTACATTCAGTCACTTTTACAGGTTTTACTTCCCACACAGCTGAGTCAGACATAATTAAAAGTCCTCTGCCACTTTTAGACAGCTCGTGCACTCCCTGCCCCTGACACCACACAGAGAAATGACAAGGGAGAGGGGGGGGGGGGGGGGGGCGCTGCAACAAGTGCGCATCCCTTCCTTACCTGGGTCCTTCTGGATGAACTTGTAGATGTGGATCCTGGTCCCGGTGCTGCCCGCGTCAAACATCACGCCGTAGAAAACTCGCGGGGTGGAGGAGAGGGGCTCGTCGGGGAGGTGGCGCACCTGGAAGCGGTGGAAGGTTTCGGGTGCGGGGTGCACCACCTCGGGCACCGGGTGGAAAGCCTCTGGGATCTGGTCGACGATGGCAGGGGCCGGGTGGAACACCTCGGGCACCTCGGGCTGCGCGACCTCCGGCACCGGGTTGGGGGCGTCCGGCAGGAGGTTGTCGGTGTTGGCCGGCTGCTCCCGGTAGCGGTAGTGGGGGACGTACCGGTGGTGGCGGTAGTAGGTCGCCTCCGCGCAAAGACTCCCCGCCAGGAGCCACAGAGTGAGGATGAGGATGGCCATTGTGTCCGGAGCCTGGGAGGAGGAGAGATGCTGGAGGCAGAGAGGAGTGGATGGAGGGAGGCAGAGTGGATGAAACTCAGGGCTGTCCGCTCATCACTTCACCGTATTTAAACACATCAGGGCTTGGCACGGAGCCACCCGGAGCGCAGCCATCCACCAATCCTGTGGCGGTCCATCCCAGCTCCATCAGGAGTCAGCCCCCCCCCTCCACACCCTCCAAGCTGAGGACTACCTGCAACTGCTTTCCCCTTTTCTCCCCCCAGTTTTTTTTTTTTTTATAATTTGTTTTATTTCTGGCTGTGTTCTCCTCCTCATATTTCTTCTGAAGCCAAATAAAATCCTTCCAAGAAGAAAAGGACTTTCCAAAGATGTAATGAATGCCTCACTGATGAAAGACATGGCCCTAAAATACTCATTAAGGGTGCACTTAGGCTTGCTCCGGAGAAATTCCTTCTCGCTGACACTTTTTGAACATTTATAATTTCATAAGTGTTTCAATTTAGGCTATATGTGATGTATTTTCTTTCTCTTTCTCCCATAAATGCCCATCTGATATCATTTAGTTTTCGTCACTGCAGTTTATATAGTCCTTTAATGGTTGTACCATTAACTTTGACACTTTTTATAAATGATTGTGTTTTACTGAAATAAATCTCATTGTTAGTGTAAATCAGGGCTATTCAACTGGTGGCCCGCGGGCCACTTCCGGCCCGCGAGTTACTTCAATCCGGCTCACGTCATTAAAAGAAATTAAAAAAATATTTTGGGGGGTTCTAGGTTTGACTTTTGTTTATTGCATTTATGATTCAATGCAATAAAATAAACCAATTTAAAAGGTAACAGATCATTGTAAACTTTGGTTTATGATTTAATCACTAGATGTCCGGCCCCGAACTGTTGGCTTTCAGAAACTGTGGCCCCCTGAGCAATTTTGTTGTATAGCCCTGCTGTTGATTCTCATTTATCCCAGCTGTGGCAAATCCTGAAAAGCTAAAAACAAAACAACTGGATTTCTAATCTGTAAAGGACGTTTTGATGCCCATCTGGGAAGCATTTTGAATTTTACACTGCAGCGATGCCCCGTTTATGTCAGTGAAACCTGCAGATTAATCCCTCTCCCTTTCCTCCTATAAGAATCATTTGACTTGTTCAATTTCTCAATCAAACAGCAGTTTTTTTATATAAATGTGCATTAAATTTAAAAAATAAATTCCTCAGCATCTGTGCACAGTTCTGCAGAAATCACTGCATTAAATCCACTGCAGCTGTTTCATCAACACTTTAAAAAAAATGCAAATCTGACTTGCACTGCAGCTGGCATGAAAGCTAAAAGAATGCCAGCAATCATCTCACTCCTACTCATCTCCGTGTTAACCACAGGGTTTCCAAGGGAAAAATATTTAGGCTTGCAAGGCACGTTTCACGAGAGAATGCATGAAAAGCACGAGTTGTTTCTCCACTTTAGGTGGCAGTTCGGCACGGCATCACGCAGCAGTGGATCACTTCTCATGCACGGTTATAGTGCAAGGAGACCCCACAGCAGTGAAGAAGAGAAGTCAAACTCATAAACTTGATATGAACTGAAATTTGTGCCCGGCTGTGATATTTTTCCACCCACTTTGTATCAACAGAAGGTCGACAGAGTTCTGAAGGAAGGCGTCAACAGGAACATCCCTGGAGACCTGACCCTGCCTCAACCCCCTGTTTTGACTCCAAAGACTGCAAGAGTGGTGCTGCTGGGTGAGAGATGGGGTGGAGGGGCAGACGTGATGTCGATGAGCTCAAGAAAATCGCAGGAAGTCCACAGTGAGGACAGTGTGGGGAGGGTGGGGCTTGGCACCAGCGTGCGCCCATCGTGCCATTCCACTCCCTGGACACTCAACTGTGCAAAGCACTGTTCCAACGCTGTAATTTGGACTAAAAATATTGGACTTTCTTTCCTCCTTCCTTTTTTTTGTAAATACTGTGGCTACTTTTTTTTTTTTAATCTTGTGGCACACCAGAATGGTCATTTGCCCCTATCAAAGTGTGCATGTGCAGAACCTCTGACTGACTTGTGCTCGCAGGCCTTTAACTTTGTAATACAGTGATAACGAATCCTGAATAAATATGTATTTACACACACACACATATATATATATATATATATATATATATATATATA